AAAAAATATAAATAGAAGATGGTGGATTAGTATTACGATGACATACAAGACTTCTAGTTTGCTAGTGTCAAGTGGCACTTAGAGTTCCTCCAAACACTTCAGTAGGAAATCCTAAATAAAGCTTCCCAATGAAGTGCTCGAAGGAACTCATAGGGACACTTGACGTTTCCCTTCATATTACAATTAATTCCTTTGTCGTAGTTACTAGGTGTATATATATATATAGGAAACAGTTGAGAGAATTATAAAGCGTTTGATCATAGAATATATGCATGCATTCGATTCGAAGCTTGAACATGGTCGGCATTGTGTCTTCCTTAAGAGATTGATGTTTTCATCGAAGTGGGGATACTTTCTGAAAATGACAAGCGAGTGAGGATCGAACCAGAAGAAGAAAGGTATTATATTCTCATTTCATCATCTATCCATACATACGACTAGGTTCAGTTTCCGACTGCCCGCATTTCTTTGGAACTCTATTCTAGATTTACGTATTAACAATCATTCCAAACTTGTAGTTCTCTCATTGTCAATATTTTGATCTACTTTATGATGTTGGAATCGTGTATTTTGTATTCAAAACCTTGTCGATTACATAGAGAATGCCAACTTCGATATGCTTTGTTCTAGAATGAAATATTGGGGTTAAAGCCCGTTGTGTGCTCTTAGGTTGTCACACGATATGATGGATGGTTGATTGCATTTAGTTCCCTATTTCTTTACAAAGGAATTGAAGTAAAATGATTTCAGTATAGCATTATGGCATGGATCTGTATCGAGCATTTGTATCAGATCTTGATACTGCTCTTTGTTTCTTAAGAGACCAACCGCTAAGATCACCTTCAAGATACTGGATTAGCTGACGTAGACTAGCTTATGTTTTGCGTTTGGTTCAGATGGTCCGAAAATTAAGCTACAAACTTCAATTCAAAACAATGATAAATACGTGACTTTTGCCAACAATTGGATGTAGGAACAAACTTGGATCGGGGCAGAAACAAGATGAATAACTCAATGAGAGAAAGGGATCACCCAACGAACGGACAAGCTCAAAAGGGGGGGTGGGGTATGTCCACACGAACGAAGGAAGTTTATAATGTTTATTAGCCAAAAAGTAACTGAAACTAAAAGAAGGATTACAAACCCAAATCACTTTATGATTTAAACTCTTTAATTCTATCAAAGTTGATCCTCTCACAATGTTTCTCTTTAATTTTCATGATTATCAAATGGTAACACAAGGGTTGTATTTATATCAATGTTTTAAAAAAGTTCGTATCTGACGCCATGTTATGCTCGTGGTACGACATGGCTCAATGCATGGTACACTGTGTCTCAAGGCTCGTCTGTGACGTTATGTTATGCCCATGGAACGCTATGGCTTAATGCATGGTTTTTATAATAGGATATTTAATTTTCCTTTTACCTTTTTAGTTTTAAGCATATAACCTAATTTAAATTGTTTAATATCAATTACTCGTTGAGTAATAGTATAAAACATATGTGCAATTATATAACTATATATAAGATATACAGATCTGCCGACATAAGTCACGTCTTGAAAAACGTTGTGGCCTCACCATGGTTCCTAAGGCTTGAAACTTGACATTGCTGCCACGTCAGACCTTACGTTTTTTTGAACCTTGATTTGTATAGCTAACTCTAATATTCCCAACTCCCAACATAATCCGAAAGCTAAAAACTAGGATTTTCGCATTATCCCTTGGCATGGTCGTCCCCTTGTAACACGGTCGTGTCAACTTTCAAAATCGTTCCTGTTACCTATGTAGAACCGAAACGGATACGATGACACTTTTAAAAAAACCATATCCAAAATGGAAACGTTATATTCGATTTAGATAGTTTAAAGAGTAAATTGCACCAAAATGTAAGATATACTATACACACACACACATGTTTTGAATCACTTGCATCATCATGCTGCATAACTGAATTACAAGATAGCAAAAGATATCAACATAGACCCATTTCATATATAGCTCCAGAAGACGAACGTTAAAAAAGCACATGATTCTTACATGTAAATTCTGCAAACTCTTTACTATCTTCTACTTGATCTATTGTAACAAAGACCAATTAACCCACGAAGGCTGAGGTTATCAGAAAGGCACCAATTAATCAAAATCCAAGATTCGAGCGGAGTACACAAATTTCTTGAATTGCAACTGTGAAATGAATCCTTCATCGTTCTTGAGAAGAGGCAACCTTTCGAAAGACAAAAGACATCTGGACAAAACATTAATTTCACAATCAGAGGTGACCAACAAAATCTTATTAGGGTAAAATGAAAATTAACATAAAGGAATTTGGTGTATGTTTGTCGACATCTTATAACTGTTCATAATCTAAAGATGAAACAAATCTCAGGTTCATTTGGGAATATAACAAATGAAAGATGCCAAAAAATTGGCTCAATCATAATAAAATAAGGTAATCTTGTTCCAAAATCAATACCATCAATAATTTAGCCCCCAAGGGGTTGTTTCCACAAGAACTAGGTGTCTCATGAAGCATCAGAGTTTAACTTCAAATGCCACTAGATGCTATCGACTCCTTAAGGACCATGTCTGCCTAGGGTTTGTTCAGACCACGTGAAAAAGGCTCTTTGCATGAACCCCATGATTAGTTGGGTCAAAGGCACCACATATCAGAGTCTCAAAAAAAACATACAAACAATATTTGCAACTTTTTATCGATCCCTGATAGTATAACTCCAATTTCAAGCAAAAGGCGTTCAAGATGCCCATGTTTTGACCTAAACAAACCAAACGAGCCAAGTATATCCTACCCAAAGGCAAGATTCCCATTTATTTAGTTACCATTGTTGATCCCTACCCACCAATGTACAACATAGTTTGACTTAGGTACAATCTCTTCTTGGACAGTAATTATCAATTTATTGGTCTTCGTATCCACCCCAATCTCAAATATAAGATGAATAACTAAAGTTAGGGAAGATAAAACATGAAAGCATGTATGTTGAAGCCAAATTAATTTAAAGCACAACTAAATATTTCAAATATCCTAACATTATTTATTAGTTGCCACAAGGCACCCCTACAACTAATGGTTCTTGATCATTGAAACAGTAGCCAACCATTTTCTGTCCTTGTGGAATGCATAAACGACAGGACTTGATAACCCCTGAAAAAGTGTTATACGCTATAGCCTCGTGCATAATTAAAATGGGTAAGTTTCGTGCAACGTCAAGTCCTTCATGTTTCAAGGACAGCATACATTGTATCTCATTTTCATAACGATATCTATTCAAGTTATTAATCCTTTCATAATCTACTTGCAAAACTAACATATTGATGGAGCTATTACAACCCACTGTGTAATCAGTGGATCTATTTGCTTCCATAAATCATCCAAGAAACAATCATCCATTCTTATCAACAACTAGATACACATGACATTTATTGTTAGAGATTAAAACCCTAGATGGTAGGGAATCACTGCACAAATTCTTACCCAATGTGCATCTTGCTTCTCTTACATGATAAAGCTATTTCATCAATGGCTACTAAAGCCAATAAATTTTCTCCAAACCACAACAGTACAATTTCCATGCCAGAAACCATGGCAATTTACATAAACAGCCAAAGCTGATTGGCTGTTTCACTCTTTTAGCCATATTCAAACCCAAATCCACTTTTTAATCTCTAGTCATATTCTGCGTAAGGATTGACTAAAAAGTGAAATTGGGTCAGAATATGGCTAAAAAGTGAAACCTTATTTGCTAATCAGCTATTTCGTCAAGTTCCCCATAACCCCCCCCCCCCCCCCCCCCAATTCATACCATTTTGGTGAAAGATGGAAGAGAATCACTTAGAGCCACTTATGATAACACAAATCTTTCCCTAGATCTCCAGCCTGCAGATGTTCTAACCATAATATCTAAATTTTGTACAAGATATCAATTAAGATAATATATTGCAGTATCCCTCCAACCCATATTAAAGATTGTTGGGTTTTAGCCTAGCAACTAGTCCCACATAGGAACAACTATAGAACTATGGTGGGTTTATAAGACTTAATCTAGTCTAGTTATCAAAATGCAAAGGAGCCCAAGTATATGAATTATGTTGGACTTTAGTGTGGGCTTAGCTAATTATTTTATGGTCAAAAGATTGGGCCTCGGTCCTCGGGGGCTCTATTGACCTTAAAACCGATTTCTTACTTATATTGAAACAGAGAAGAAAGCGACTTCAATGCGACCAAAGTCGCACCAAACCCGCATTTGTCTCTGTTTGGTTCCACAAAACCGAGTCTAATGCGACTCCCATGCAGGTAAACCCGCATTCCTCTCTGTTGGTTCGATGAAACTGTGACTAAAGCGAGTCTCATGCGGGTAAACCCACTTCAAACCCGCATTAGTCCCTGAGAAGTTAAAAACAGTTAATTTCGGTTGTCAAATGCAAAGGTATATATACCTTGCCTTCCCTCCATTTTGATACACGTTAATTCCCTCCAATTCTCTCCTTTTTCCTCTCCATTTTGTCCTTTGCTTTCAAGACCACATTATCGATTAGATGGGATTGAATTGACGTTCATCAATTCGGCCAGATACTTGTATCCTCAAGGCGACGTCCGGAACCAAGCACGATTGGGGACGAAATTTCGTCTTAGGACACTGCACCTGCAGGCCTCTATCCTCGTATCTTCATTCATTCTAGTTTATCATCGAAAAGGTACATGAATTCTTGTTTTAATCAATTTTGTTACCTTTGTTTTATAGATTTCTTGTTTAATTTGTGTTACCGAAAGATTACTTCAAAACAATCCCCAAATGTTATTGCAAACTTATAAACATCTATTTGCGATAAAGATTCTAGAAAAACATGCACACATTGCAATTTCGGTAGGACAGAGTTACTATTGATGTCTAATGAAATCATATTGCCACGACTATGCACAAAACAACAAGATGAATAGGCAAATATTAGAAGAGATAACAGAGAAGGCTGCTTATCAAATCATCCACTTGAATAGGGACGAGTCGACCCACTAGATCTAGGGCGGTTCATCGCCTTTGGATTCCCCTCAAATCCTGTCGTTACCCTTTCATACCCACCACCAGATTTCGGCCTCCCTTCTTCCCGTTTGTAAATCGGAGACCGTAAAAGGCCTTGCCGGATATTCGACCGCATACCACATCCGGTTTGCTTCTGAATCTCCGGTTCAAGTTTCACCTCCCTCCCGTGGAAACCCGGTCTAAGATGCGGGGGCACAAACCTATTCGTCTTTGGCAACACTGACGAATCCTTACTCTGTATCAGAGGAAACGTCAGATGAGACAACGGTGGGGCCAACCCAGTTCGACCAAGTGGGCGGAGGGAAATAGAGTCCGATTCCACCGGAGGCTGATCTGGTGGTTGTGTAGCAGGAGGAGGAGATGGTTGCCGAGGAGAAACGATGGGTTTGGGAGATGGGCGACTCAAGACAAGCATGTTTCCATGGATGCGTGAATTTGAGAGAACGGTTTTGTTAGTAGAGGGAGTAGTTGAAGAAATCGATGATGATGATGAACGGCTAGACTTGGTGGCGCCGATCTTCTTTTCATATATGTCGTTGAAGTTGAGAGAGTTGTACTTATTGGTTCTTGCCATCCACTACCACCGTCCACCGCCACTCGACCACCGCTGGCACACAGAGAAAGGAGAGAGTCTCGTTTAATGCAATTGCAAGAAAGCGACGGAGTTATTTGAAAGAGAATAGGCGTAAATTACATTCTTGGTGCCTCTACTTTACTGTTTTAACGCCTTAAGTCCTTAAAATGAAGTAATTAGTAAATTACAAATTTAGTCCCTGTGGTTACTAAAAATTATGAATCAAATCATTCAAATGTACTAATTATGTCGGTTTCACTTTTGTAACAGATTGAGTCCTCTGCCCTAACATCGTTAACCCTAACTTCTATTATATTAGGGGTATTTTGGTCATTTTATTATTTTTCTTATATCTCATTTTAAGAAAATAGATATTGTATATTATTATTAACGATATCATAAACTCCCGCCTTTTCCATAATCTTCCTTGCACAACGACACTGTTGCCCACCCCTCCTCCCTGTCGAGAAACTCTACGTTCAGTTATCTTCTCTGGTTTCATATTACCAATAACATAAACTGCCCTTTTTTCATATTACCACACAAACATAACCTGCAACTCAACCAAACGCTCCCCGTTCCTCACACCTGCAAGGCTACAACCCATCAATCTCCGATGCACCCGTTCCTCAAACCTGTAACCTAACGATCGTGTACGACCACCTTTTGTCTTGATCGTTAATCTTCCATCCTCCAAAATCTTCTACTTTTGCCACCTAACGTAATCAACAAGAAAAACGAAAAAAATAATAGAATATGTCGAACTTCGATCTAATACTTGATAATAACGTTTCCAAATGCATCAATCATTTATGTGATTCAAAACAGAGGAAACTGCAACGATTGATCTCAAATATATCATCGATAAAAATCATCTATCTTTAAAAAATATGCTTTCTTTATGTTCTATTAATTAAATTAAAATATATATTTTAATTGATGGATAAGAAAGGGACATGAAATTTGGAGACAGGTAAATTGTAATGTTGACTTCTATTGGTAAGCGATTACTGGGTAAGCATTTAGGTAAATGGCTCCTTAGTTCCCCGCTTTTTTCATCCTTATGATTTATGGAAAATTGTCATTTTTGTCCATGTTGTTTTGAAATTGTAGTTTTCGTCCTTACTCTTGACAATTTATTCGTGTTCTCGTTTATGATATAAACTGTATTGTAGTTTTTGTCTTGTGGTTTACAATTCATTGCTCTTTTAGTCCCTCATATTTACAGGTAGGAGTTTAGACTTAGGAACGAAAAAAACAATAAATAGTGAACCGAAGAAACAAAAAACTTATGAAGTCTCATTTCCGTAGCGGACCAATTTGTGTAATTCGAAACCACAAGAACAAAATCCGTAGTCTTTAACAAACCACAGGGATGAAAAGTGTATTTTAATTTCAATATTTATATAAAAAACAAATTTTCTTTGTTTGTGTAAATTAAAGTAATCAACAAGAAAAGCGGAAAAAATAGAATATATCGAACTTCGATCTAATACTTGATAATAACGTTTTCAAATGCATCGATCATTTATATGATTCAAAACAGACGAAACTGCGATGATTGATTTCAAATACATCATATCGATAAAAAGCATCCGTCTTTAAAAAATACGCCTTCTTTCTGTTCTATTAATTAAAATAAAATATATTTATTTTAATTACTTTTTGTATTTTCACCTTTATGATCGTTTTATTTTAATTGATGGACAAGAAAGAGACGTGAAATTTGGAGACAGGTGATTTTTATTCATATCTTACGTCAAGATTTAGAATATGTTGTTAGCTCGGATTCCTTCGCACCACAATAAGTATCGAGAGCATCTGCATTTGCGCCAATCTTTCCCGTGAACATGTGCTTCAGGAACTCATCGTAGTCAAAAGGATTGAACAACAAAGGGTGTTCTTCGGTCACCAATTCATGTGGGACCCTCGTTATGTAGCTCGGCTTCGGGACGGAAAACAATCCAAGCGAATACCGAGTTTCCTTTCCCGTCATCATCACACGATGATACGGGGCATGTAACCGACCATTCGACCATGCCTGAAATAGAAAAATTAAAATTAGGACAGTAGTTTGTTTGAGAGGTTGTTGGGGCTGTTTACCAAACACTTACCAAGGTAAGCGTTTGCTAAATCACATTATCTTATCGGATTAATATCGTAAGCACTAAAAATCTTACCTGGTAAGAGTGAGGCAAGGACCGAGAGTCTTACCCGGTAAGTGAGGGCAACGACTCTTACCATGGTTGGCGCTTACCAGGTAAAGTGTTGTATATAAAACCATTTTTGTTGACTAAAATCTTACCCGTTAAGCAAGTGATAATGTTGAATTTTATTGATAAGCGCTTATTCGATTAGTGTTTGGTAAACGGTTTCTTAATAAATGAACTCCGACTTTAAAAAGTAATAATAACTCTTATTAAAAGACGTACATGAAAAACCTCTCCTACGAAAACCGTGAATGAATCCGGTGACTGCTTGACTCTGATCCACTCTCCGCTTTTCGTCTCGAGCTCTAATCCCGCAACTTCATTTTGGTACAAAATGGATAGTGTCGTCTTGTCGATATGCGAAGTAAGTCCCGTGATGGATTCGTCAGTGTCCGGCCCTCTGTACTTCGCTACACGAAGAAGGTGCTTCGTGCTATCCATATGATCATCGGAGTATTTCTCGAGCCCCATACTTTCTATAACCATTTTCCTAACCGTCCGATCCAACCAATACAACTTATCGGAGATATTGCGAATGCTTTCACTGCCAAATAAAGAATCAAACGATCATCATATCATGTTGGCAATTTTTTACCAAACCAAATAAGCCAACATATGTGTCAACCAAACTGGCACCAACTTAATTGGTAGCATCGTACCAATTACACGAAAATGCAACAGAAATAAAGATTATAAAAAGGGTTTTTTGGTACCTGAATACGGGATTGCCATGGGGCCAAAAGAAGTTGGTGAAAGCTTCAACTTCTCCGGCGACCGGAGCATCAGGAACGGCCATGCTTTCATAGAGTGGCATGGTCGGAGAGTGACCGATGTAGCCATGGAAAGGTTTATCGGAGATGCTTTTGAGTTTGGTTTCCATAGGAAGATCGAAAAGCTGGTCCAATGAACCAAACAAAGAACTCCGGAACTCCGGCGACATTCCGGCCATTGATGCTCGGAAGAAACCGTATTCAGTAAGTGCTTCATGGACTTGGATTTTGACTGAATTCCAATCATCTGGGGTTGATTGGTGAAGATAAATCTTTGAGAAATCAATGAGTGGAAGCTGAGTTGCTGTTTCTGATCCCATTTCTTGATCTGTGTTCTTGTTTTCAAGAACCGGACCCTTTTATATCAGATTAATGGTGGCCGGTTTTCTTTAAAATAATATTTGGTTAATTGTTTATTAAATATCCCCTATACTTTATTATTATTTTTCTAAAATAAATTTAAAATGTTTATAAAAATTTTGATTCAATCCTAATAAAGATTATAATATTTTTTTAAATTTTATATAAAATCATTTTTTTAGAAATCATTTAGAGTTAAATTTTAAAGGTCTTATTATATGTGTATTATAATTATACTAAAATAAAACCAAATGGTCTTTGGTCTAAGAGTTCAAATCTCATCAAAGATAAGAATAATTTATGAGTTTATTTGTTGCATTTGTCGTATATAAATATTATATACTTAAAAGAAATAATAAATAAAATAAAATATAAAAAATTATATCATATATAATATTAAAATTCTTTTAAATTAAAATAACAAAACATAGAAGTATAATTAGATCTCAAAATTTTAGCCGTCTTATTTTATATCTCATATCGAAACATGTTAGATCAGATTTAAAAAGAACAGATTAAAATAACAAATCTAAGGTCAAATACATATATAAAATATAGCCTTCAATGTCATACATATCATATTTCTTGTATTTTAGTTGGGGGAAAGAAGGAAGAATCTGATACCTTAATTTAACTGGGTCTGTAAGTACTAAAAAACACTGTTTGTCTTGAAGCAAATTGTATATCCCATATACCCTTTTCCCAAAATTCCATATCGGTTTTGGGATATTAGTATTATTTGGACAAAAAATTGATTAACGGTAATTATATGAAACTTGTTTCTAAAGATAGCAAAATAAGGGGTATTTTTTGTTTCACTCAACTGTTGAGGCTAACCAAAACCTAAGATCAAACCAAGATCTATCTTGTATTTGGACAAAATTATCTCACTTTTTTACCAACTGAGCTATATGTCATGGGCGGGTTTTGGCATCATTAAATTTGGAGATTTTGTTGACTTTTTGTATGAAACAACGTTTTCGCGATATATATGATAAGGTATCTATTTTATATTTTAATTTAATTTTAAATTTATAAATAATTATTGTATATATATAATTTATTAAACCCCGAACTTTACAAAAGTAATAGATGAACATGTTCAAATACAAATAAATATTTTTCATACTCATATAATTAAATATTAACAATTCAAAACCAGATATAACCGTCACATTAACATTAAGAAGGACAAATAATAAACCAAATTAGGAAGCACAATTAAGTGTTCAAGTTTTCAACTTCAAACCCGAAATGCATCATACGAATATATAATCAATACTATATAAATCTTAATTATTTTAAAAACCATATATTCGGTATCATGTATGGCCTTTTATATTAGAAATTAAAGAGCTTACCAACAATGAGAATGTTAGATTATCATATAAGGATAATTTTTCTTACCAGTAAACTTCTAGTAAAAAACTCTTTAAGTTATGATTCATATTGTTTCACATGTGTTGTTTTATATATGAAACAAAATATAAAAATCTGGTATAAATTTGTCGATCTAATATTTTAACATTTTTATCATGTTCATCTGACATTTCTCCAACCCTATTTTATTTGTGTCACATACTAAAAAAAAAAAAAAAAACAACTTTACCGTTTTAGGGCAATACACAAACCATATACATCCCAAAAAAGATGATAGAAAATGGAATATGACTTAAGAATCTTGAATATTTTTTGGTTAATCAACACCAAAAGGTTCGTGAAAGCAACCAAGTTGGAACCTTTAGGGGTTAACCCATAAACCCTTTTCACCTTCCCTAATTTGAACCCCACCGTCTTCACCCCTCCGCCTATTCGCCTCTACGCCGCCGCGACCCTCCTCGTTTCACAAAGGTACAAAATTGCCGTCGATACTTTTGGTTTAGTTCAGCCGTTTTTCTGAATCATCTTGCGTGCAAGTCTGTGTGAATCGCACTTTGTTGCGAGATCGATTGCCCTATTTCATCAGTTCGTTAAGTTTTTTGATCCATGATTTTGGCATATATGTTGGTAATATTAGACATCTTTGTGTGTAATGATGTAAGTTCGTTCTTAATTTGCCTTGGAAATTAAAATATCCTTTTTGAATGTAGAAATGTCTGTCGTATTTGATTGTATTACTTTGTCATTATGTTTTGGAAACCATTTCATATATTTATTGGGCACAGCTATCCCATTATATTTTTCAATTTTGCAATGAAATTTGTTACAAGTACACCAACTTTTTTCAATCAACAAAGTTTTTGATTTGTGTTTCTTCAATAGTTGAACCATATCTCTTTTATGGAAAAGAGGGTGTAAACTGTGTGTGGCATATAAGACCATCTTAAATCCTAGCACCAAAAACACACTAAGTTGGTGGGTATATGCCGTTTCTTTCCCATCTTCGGCATATTGTTGTTCTTTTTGCCTGTCGGTTGGAGCTTCATCTCTGGCAAAATGTGGAAAATTTGCAGTACGATTGGAGATGCCCAAAGGGGTGACAAAGATGGCATCAGTCAGCCGTTGGTCTGTCTGTAAACGTTTCAGGAGACCCTGGAGTTACTGATGATTGTAATATTTGTTTTTCCAAATGAGGGCTTATTGTTTATATGGGATTTGAATTCTAGGAAAGATGAATTTCAACAAAGCTAAGATGCCTAGGATGCCTGATGCTGGTGCAGCTTCCACATTGATAAAGTTAGGAGCTGTTGTTGGTCTTGGATTGTATGCAGCTGGTAACAGTCTTTACAACGTTGAGGGAGGGCACCGTGCTATTGTTTTCAATCGTGTAGTTGGTGTCAAAGACAAGGTTTTGTTCATTTATTTAAGTATTATGTTTTCTTTTTTAGCATATATGATCTATCTTATCAAAATGATACTGCTGCTGCTGCTGCTGTGATTATTTAGGATCTTGTATTTGTGTTCTTGTAGCAACTTTCTGTTCATGTTCGATTGTGTGCCTATAATGGTTGTTATTGCTATGATGTTCCTACCGCCAAGACCCTATCATGGCCTAAAACAGCGCATATCTTTGCTAATTTCACTATGATACAAAATGTTGCAGATAACAGTTTCTTATTATAATATGATTATTGGAACAGTATTATTGCTTTTGGAATTTAGATGTTTGCATTAAAGACTGCCCCCAAACTCTGAAGATTTTGCTAGCTAAAGATAGTGAAGCCTTTTTATATAGTTGCTTATATTGTTCGAATTCAGTCAACCCACTCCTTAGCTTGGTATTAAAATTATTAGGGTTTGAGTGTACCAACATATAGAATTCTATAACTAGAGAGATGTATGATTCATTACCCATTTGTTCATGGATGCTCATCTAAGTTACACTGAATAATTATAAATTATTAGCCTTAGAATGATAATAAAGACGGTTAAAAAGTATGTTATTTTGTTTGCTTCACATTTGTTTAAATGTATTTCTGTATCTACTACATGCATTTCTATACTTCATCTGTTAATTGCACATCAAGTTGCAGTTATGCACTATGGATGCAGGTACTTATATTTTAAATGCTATAAGTGTCATGCCAAATGCTTACATGTTTGATTTAATAGGTTTATCCTGAAGGGACACACATAATGATCCCTTGGTTTGAAAGGCCAATCATCTATGATGTCCGTGCACGACCCCATCTAGTAGAGAGCACCTCTGGTAGCCGTGATCTACAGATGGTATATATCTCTCTTCTCTTTGAATATCTATTTCCTAACTCTATTATATATAGGGTGAGGGTCAGGGAAAACTGAAAAAAACTGAGGAACATCTTGGTAACTGTTCATATGTATGGTATGTACATGTGCATAACATGCATACGTGCTTAGAAACCAAAAACCATCTTCAATTACTTGTAAGCATATGTGCATATACCATATAGATGAGGGGTTATCAAGGTGTTCCTCAGTTTTTTCTTTTTTGGGGAGTTTTCCCCTGAACCTCATTCTCTCTATATATATACATATTACATATATATAGGATTAGTCATTTGAGAACTTCATAATTTGTGAGATCCATGAGAACTTCTATCTTAAGGCTTTGTTTAACATGATTTTTCTCCATCTAAGTATAGTATCTAATATATTGATTAACATATACTAGTTTCACAATATGTTTGGTTCACGTGTATTGGGTTCACAGTGTGGAAACTTTTTCTGTGTACTTTTTGTTTCATAAACATGTCAAAAAGGTTCATATAGTGAACTGCGTACATGTGAAACAATCACGTCGAAACAAATATATGTTGATTGATATTCTAAATCCTAGACTTAGATGAAAAAAACACATTATGCACTAGTTCTCAAGGCTATCACAATTTCATGAGTTCTCAAAAGAAGCCCCCCTATATATACATATAAATGTATATGTGTGTGTGCGTGCGTAATAGTGATCATATCTGTTATCAGAAGACTTCTGCATATGCACATATGTCGGATTCTAGCAATATTTGTGGGATTCTAGTAATCTTACTTTAGAGTCCATTGCTCTTATTGTGGCTTTAAAATTGTGGTTCAGGTGAAAATAGGTCTTAGAGTCCTGACTCGTCCCGTTGCTGATGAACTACCCACCGTTTATCGGACTCTTGGTGAAAACTACAATGAGAGAGTCCTGCCTTCAATTATTCATGAAACATTGAAAGCTGTGGTTGCACAATATAATGCTAGCCAACTTATTACCCAAAGAGAGGTATTTACCAAGTTCTTCTTCAATATATCATATATGGTACTCCTATCCCAAAATAAATGTCCACAATGAAGAAGGCACACTGTTGTAGGAATGTGTAATTGTTACACTTTTTAATCAGCTAAATGACAAATTTACCCTTAATAATAGAGGGCGCCTCATAATTAAGAGTAGAATTGGAAAGTAAACACTTTTGAAAGCGTCTGCTTTCATTACTTCTATTATTAAGGGTAAATTGTCACCTAGTTGATTAAAAAGTGTAATAATTACACATTTCTAAAACCGTGTCTTTTTCATTGTGTACATTTATTTTGGGACGGAGGGAGTACTATGTTTATTATCACAAAGACAATTAATATGATAATTGAGTTCTGATTTTTTGGTTCTTTTAATCAACCATCATTCAATAGGCTGTTAGCAGAGAAATACGGAAAGTACTGACGGAGAGGGCGTCCCATTTCAACATGGCATTAGATGATGTCTCCATTACAAGTCTGACTTTCGGGCGGGAGTTTACTGCGGCAATCGAAGCAAAGCAAGTGGCTGCACAAGAAGCCGAGAGGGCCAAGTTTGTTGTTGAGAAGGCTGAACAAGACAAACGAAGTGCTGTTATCAGAGCACAGGTGAGACTATATATATGTATATATATTTCATGGTTCATAGCACATAAATCTTGGTTTATTCAGCATATATAAGGGATTGGGGCAGCTTAACAGTAAAAATCTACCAAATTCCATGAAAATTGGCAACATATGACTTTACATGTATTCTAAGATGTTTAAAACACTTGAAATCTTGTTGATCAAAAACAATAGCACCGATAATTATTTATATATACAACGATTTTGCTTGGCTATTGTTCAAATGGCCGTTAATGAAGACAATAAAAAAACTTGTAGATGCTAAATCAAAGTCACTAAAATCAAGCACTAGTTACTAAGGGTGCGTTTGGTTCGCGGGACAGGAGAATACAAAATATTGTCCCATGCTTGGCACAATATTAGACCGGGACAGAACATGACTAAGTGGGACAAAAAACATTTTTTCTATCATGCCAAAATAGGTGGAAAAAGACAAGGGAGATGGACAAGATTGGTAAATTACTTGACTACCCATGTGAAATTAGACGCTTAAAAACCTTCTAGAATTCTTTCAACCGCCTAATCTCGTACGTCTTTTGTCCTGTCCTGTCCTGCCACTCCCATCCGCGTATCAAACGCACCCTAATAGTCAAAATGTATCTTTAGATTGAGAACTTCCCAAAAAAAAAGACATCTTGCATTTTTTGACAACCAATGACCTTTTTTTACAAAAGAGTAATTTTACCTTCAAAATTTACCATTTCTTTTTCATGGTACAACACGAATTTGAAATTGTCGGAACCTTTATGGAAAGGAGGGATTATAACACGAGCTACTTGTATAACTATACATAATAGGGTGAAGCAAAAAGTGCCCAGCTGATAGGTCAAGCAATCGCCAACAATCCAGCATTTATCACTCTCAGAAAGATCGAAGCAGCTAGAGAAATTGCACAAACGATGGCTGCTTCATCCAACAAAGTCATGTTGAATGCCGATAACCTGTTGCTGAACCTTCAGGAAATGAGTCTGGAAAAGAAATAGAAGCGCAACGTTATCTGGACTTGCACACATTACGCTTTCTTTATTGTTTTTTGAACAACTCCATTGCCATTTCTGTAAACCTGCAAAAATAATTTCATGGAGGTTGATACACATGAAAAACTTGTGAGTTCGTTTATTAGATGTTGAACATGTTAAGATACATTCGTAAGCCTCATTTTACTTGCTTAGATTCGTGTTACAAATCTCAACAGGTCAAGTATTTCATGGGGATTTTCGTAATTCGTTGTTACTAGGTTTGTGGTGCACGGGTTAGTGTCGTGATGATGGTTGGTGCACAGGAGGAATGAGAACTTTGCGTCATGAACTTTGAGGCTCAAAGAGAAGATAATGAAGAAAGGTAATTGTTTTCTCAACAGTCGAAATGCACACGCATTTTGCTAGCAGAGGGGATGTTTGGTACGGCTGACGCTACAAAACAGAACAAAAACTTGTTATTTTACATTTGATTCGACGTTAGACCGAGCCATGAAAGGATTAAATGGGACAGGAACAAAGGGTTAATTCATCAACTGATGCATGGAATTGATTTCGAGATCTTGAAATACAAAAAACCTCATGATTTGTATAGAAATACAAATTGATGGTATTCTGAGGTTTAGAAATGGAGGTTTGAGGTTTATAAATGTAATGTTGATTGTGTATATAAAATTAGATATGATATATAGAGAAACTTACATTTTTAGTCCCTGTAATTTACGTATTTTTCATTTATCAAACAAAAATGAAAAAAAGTGGAAAAGAACTAAAATACCCATTATTTGATGAACGGACCAAATCTAGATGCTTTAGCAAACCACGACAGCCATCTTGTATTTTCGAAACCGTAAGGATAAAAAGTGTTATATCCGACACTCCAGGGACCCTTATTTTTAAATGGGTGATCCGCCCAGACTAATCCCATGGCAAATCGCAACTATAGGATTCATCCATAGTCCTGTCTCGTGAGCTAAATCTCCCAAAGACCACGTGCATATGTAGATGGCAGGATCTGAATCCATATTGATTTCATCATCCCCTTGTATTTACCAATCGCTGTAACACTCTTGCGGTTAACTCTGTAATAGCATTTGCAGTTGAATTTTTTTTACAAACAGGATGATGTTTGTGTTAAAGCTTGCAAGCTATCAAATCTGTGAAGATGTTGCGGTAAAATAGAATGAAAAAATAAACCATGCATCTAATGCTGTCAAGGTATCCTTCAAATGGAGACTAGACTTAACTTTTGATATGCATCAACAACCTATATGATCATTTACAGGGGTTGGCTCTACAGTCTACACTAGATATCTAAAAACAAAAATACCATCATCTTGTTAGAAAGTTAATAGGCTCCCATAAAAAGATATTTGAGATCTTGTGCAGTTAAACTAGTCACTGAGCTTCCACTTTGACCTTCACCAAAAGCTGAAGCAACCATTTTCCTCTTTTCTTCCTGCACAAATCACATTCAAAAATTCAAAATCTTGGAAGTGATTTCTCGAAGAAAAAGATCATAAAGTGATTTCTTGAAGAAAAAGGAGCATAGAAATGTCCATTTCGTGCTTTAGGATTCATCATTTCTATAATTGCACTACAACAAAATTGGTGTTCTAGGATGTCCATGTGTCCTCTGGGTGTACTATAGAGTACTTGATAGGACTTTTAAGTTTATAGGACAAAGAACTGTGTATCTTAACTACCAAAGAGTCATTGGCCCACGGTAAGGGAAGTGTCGTTGAACTCCTCATTGCCTGTTATCACAGGCAGGGGCTGCTTCTTCTTTCGAAATGAGAAGACCAATGCTGGGTCATATTTCTTGTTTGGACTGTAGCATAGGCCTTCGCCACTTCAAACGGGTCACGGAGAAAACCCAAATTCTTTCTAACCTCCAACTCTATGAAAGAAACTTGGGGTCAAATTGTATCTCGGGTTCATGGCATGTTAAAACGACTATCGACAAAACCCCCGATTTCCGAGAGTTAGATAGCCGACACCCTTATTTTTTCATTTTCGAATGACTGTCCCATTCCATTTTTGGTTTTACTTTTTCCTTCTCTTCATTCTATCTAGACAGGAATCACGATGAGACAAATATGTTCAGAAACAGAGCTCTTTTATCACAGAATCAGACCATTTGTTGATGCATTCCTGTTGAGAATGAAGAAGATAGATCTTTTGAACAGGGGCCAAGGAAGAAGACTTTCTCTTCCGGGCTCTGTGTGAGCTTTGCCCTATATAAATGTTACATACTAAAAAAAACCTGTGTATCATACCTAAAGGTGTTACCCTAAGTTGCTAGGGCAAAGCTAGGAAAGCTAACCAGTTATATTGACCAAGTTGGACAACCTAATAGGATACAAAAAGTAAAACGTCCTATTAATCTTTTTATAGGACTCCTTTGAAAGCCTTTTATCTAATGACACTATTCAAAAGTGTCATATCAATAGGCTAATAAGATGGTTTACTTTTTATGTCCTATTACGTTGCCCAACTTCACAGATAGATCTTGTTAGGTCACCTGACGTAGTCCTAACAGCTTATAGTAGGATGCATGTGCGTTTTGCTGTAGTGTTGGTTCATTATGGACTCAATGTACATTTTATATCTCAACTATAAACTACTATTTGGGTCCCTTAATTTTACCTTCCATTTCCATCAGAGAGCTAACCAAACTTGGGACCATATAATTACCTCATAACAGACCCTGGAAGTCCCCTGAGCCACAAAGTGAGGAGGATGATTCACTTAAACCTCCTAAAAAACCAAGTGTTCTCGAATTTAAGTTGACGATTTGACCATTGACGAATAGCAGTTTGCACAATCTTGCACATAAGTCATCATGATTGCACACCTAAAGGCCTCCTAGTTTTCACCACAACCGAGAGAATCATAATGATTAAGATTTACACTAACCAGTGGCGGAGCCACATTGGAGCGAGGGGGAGCAGCTTGTTCAATTTGTTTTATATAGATATGCGATGAAGTAGGCGGTTGGGAAGTGGAGTGCAGCGAGAGTAAAAATTTTATATAGATGATATACCACAACAGAGGGGTGAGAAAGTGGAGAACAGGAAAAAGGAAAGAGGTGATTATCATTAAATCATAAATGTACATTTTAGTCCTTGTATTTTGATCAATTTTTAAGAACTCAAGTTTTCAAAAATCAAATATTTATAGTTTAACTCGATTTATATTTTTAGATATTTACTTCATCTAACATGTTCATCATAAAAAATAAATGAGATAACTAACATAATAACTTAATTTTAAGAAGTTTATTAGTTTGTGAGTTCTGATTTCCGAATCAAACAATTGCCAATCGATGCTAGGTTTGGTTGTGTTTTGTTTTAATTTTTAAGAAGTTGCTTTGATATTTGATTTTAGCTTATGAAATGCACTAGGGTCACAATTGAAACTGCTAGATTGACATTGTTCTCACTGGATTTAAATTGTAAAGGTGATGATTTTAGAGCAAAAATAAGAAAATGAAATCTAGCATTTCACAAGAGTAAAGTGCTGACCTCATAAACTGAAAGATGTTCAAGTGCTGATTTCATACTATTCTTAAGTTGTTCAAAGATTTAAATAATTTATTTGACTTCGATTTTAGGGTTGTCAGGTTATATACAGTTAATTCATAATTGTTATTTATTAAGTGTTGATTTTAGTTTGTTGTACATTAATTAGTTTAACATTTAACAACCAGTATCTATTAAAGATTAAAACAGCCCGTCGTTTATGGGAGACAAGAATAATTTTGATCGTTCTAAACACAAGTCATATGTAAACCAATTCACTGTTGGGCCTGTAAAGGTTGGTATATCATCAATACAATATTGTTGTGTTTGACATTTTCTTTTACTTTTGTTTTATTTGGTGCTACTCCTCGAATCGATTCCTGGCTCCGCCACTGACACTAACCACCAATACCCCTTCATGCTCTAGAACAATTTATAGATCAACACCGACTGGAACATATTTGGTAAAACAATAGTCAAGAACATGGGAAATGCACCCAAAACCATAGGAACTCTAAAGGGAGGTACGCAATAGATAAAATATGATGGTGTGGATTTAAACCTGTTGACATGGTAGAAAGCCAAGTGATTCATGTCTTGGGCGTTAAAGTTACTTTCACACCCCCATCCTAAAGTATATCTTAGGCGTTAAAGTTACGAGAAGTAAAAAAGGTATATTTCTATCCTAAATAAATGTCTTTGACCTATTAACTCGGACCAAAAAATTGGGAGCAAAATCTTCATATCTAAATCAAATGATGAAAGAAAAAAGCAACTGGATGTCCAATTTGGGCCTATCGTAGTGTTCTGATGAAGCCCAACATGCACCTTACTAGAGACGGGAAACTATTTGGAGATCCTGAGAGATTCGAAGGTTGGTTGGGAAGCTGAATTATCTATCATACCGTGATGCATCCTCATATTGCATAATCTGTTAAGTGTAGTCAGTCAGTTTATGTCATCTCTGGCAATTCATCATTGACTAGCATTAATACGAACTTTTGTGTTATTTGAAACGAGCACCTGAATAAGGTATTGTGTATGTGAATCATGGACAAAACCATATTGGATGTTTTTCAAATGCAATAGGGTAGGTGCCAAAAAGGATAGAAGATTGACTTTAGGATATTGCATATTTGTTGTTAGGAATTTGGTCTCATGGAGAAGAACAAATCTCACGGAGTCAGAATACAAGGTTATGGCACAATATCTGTGTGAGGTAATGTGGATATATCAGTTCCTAACCGAAATAGGAGCTGAAACTTCATTACGAGCAACATTGTTATGCGACAATCAAGTTGCTCTTCATAATGCATCTAATCCTGTATTATTAGAGAGAACTGAACACATTGACATTGATTGTCATTTTGTTCGTTAGAAAATTAAACAAGGTTTAATTTCTACAAAATATGTTAAAAGACTCGAGAATAGTTAGGGGGCATCTTCACTAAAGCTTTAAACTGGGTTTAGATTGGTTATCTTTGTAACAAGTTGGGTATTATAAATACCTATGCTCCAACTTTTGGGAAGGAAATAACTAGGGTTCTTTCTAGTTTACTTTTAGATGGCTTCCTAAAATAGCTTCCTGGTAGTATATATAATCTTGTACAGTTCTTATTGTGAAATAAACCAGATTACCTACTTTGTACATTGGAAATAGGAACTTACAGTGTCTACTTTACGTAGATGGACGTATAGTTCAAAAGAATACACCAAATTAACCAGAAAATGTAAAAAGAACGAAAATCTGAAAGTGACCATCTACCAAGGAAGAAAGACGATAACGAACCTCCAAACGACTGAAAAGGAGGACTATTAAATATACCATGGGTAGTAGAAAGTAACTGGATCAGCCATTTCAAAAAGAAAATGAAAGGATCAAGTAAGCAAACCGAAATAAGTGGAAAATTTAGGCATGATATTTGGAGATCAGACCTGGAGTGCGAGAATCCTGTCCTCAACCGTGTCCTTAATTGTTAATCTGGACACAGTGACAGTGCGAGTCTGTCCGATTCTATGAGCTCGGTCAATAGCTTGATCTTCAGTAGCCGGATTCCACCAAAGATCTAAAAGAATAACATGAGATGCAGCAACCATGTTCAGACCAAGATTGCCAGCTTTCAATGACATCAGCATAACAATTACCTGCAAGATATCCATTACTTGCTAAGTTCTACTGGCTTGCTTCATCATCAACTTTCGAAAACTACACATTGCTCAGGCTAGATGTAAGCATTGAAGGAGCATATATATCTATGAGACCAACTGTAGAATTGTAAACTGAATAGGAAGACTTTACGCTTTATTTACAATGGGTTACTATTATGTTTTATTTTTATTATTTCAGGAATATCTTTGCCTTCCATATTTTGTGAGATTCTCTAATAAATTTCTTCAATGGTATTAAATAAATACTTTTATACTATAAAGGGTATTAATCCCTTCCTTTTGGGAATAATAACTGCAATAATTCTCTCAATTCTTTCTTCATAGTATCAAATCGACATCCAAGTCAAACTTCTTGACATGAGCCTTTCCTTTGCATATAGGCACAATCATATTGAACACCTAGTAAACCATCTGTTACTTCTATAAGATCCCGAATTTCCTTTGTGAATTTAGCATGAGCATATTGCCTTTCCAGTACGCTAGTCGTATGCTGCTCGTGATAACTACTCCAACACTGAGAATTCCTCCACATTATTCGACTTTTTTTATAAAATAAAAAAGTCTGAAGTTCCAACCATTTTCAAGGCTTGCCTTACATGATTTCCATCCAATACCATAGCAAAATTCATCTTCTTAACCACAAGGGTGGTGCCTCATTGGTTTGAGCTTGGCTCCAAAGGTCAAAAGTACCAGGAGGTCCCAGGTTCAAATCCAAGGAGGAATAAAAATCCCCTTGTGGCCACGGAGGTTCAAATGCGGTGACTCCAGGCTATCTGCAAAGCAGGTGATCGCCCTGGGATTAGTCGGCTCGCATAGCGGGTTGGATATCCAGGTTAATCAAAAAAAAATTCATCTTCTTAAACTAATAATCTTGAGGATCGTTTCAACTTAACTCTTGGTCCATACTTATCCACACATGGCATTTTGCATATTAGTTTGTATGGATACCCTCAACATGGTGGCATCTTTGGGAGGAAAAATAGACACTTACTACACGCTTTTGGGGGATAAGTCATTCTCACTGCCACTTATCTCATCAATAGGATGCATAGCCATGTACTTCAAATCAAATCACCCCATCAAGTCCTTATTGATATCCATCCTCATGTCAAGTCATTCTCGTCTCATCTACCTCTCAAGATATTTGGCTGCACTTCTTTTGTTCAAATATATCAACAAAATCAAATAAAACTAGGCCCCAAATTTCTCAAATGCGTTTTTTTGTTTTGCTACTCAATCGAAAAGGCTACAGATGTTATTTCCCTCCCACAAAAACGAAAAGACTTTACAGCTTCATCTTAGACCCCAAATCTCTCAAATGTTCTTTTTGCTACTCCTCAGATAAAAGGGTTATAAATGTTATTTCCCTCCCACAAAAAGGATTTACAAATTCATGGAAGTCACATTCTTCAAGAATCACTCTTATTTTCCCAACTCTCAAATTCAGGAGGAGACTTATAAGAAATTTCAGATTGTAGATACTCTTAAGAACACTTAAACAATCAATCTTATATGTAGCAACAGCAATTTTCATGTATATGCTCCAACTTCAACAGTGTAAGAGAGAGAACTTGGGACTATCATTTTAGATTTCAACCTATTTTCCCATTCTTTACTCTTTCTACTTTGTTAATCATATGGATACCCCTTTGTAGTTTCATTCTTTTAAATGCATATTTCTGGAACATTGATTTAGAGATTATAAACTATGTCCTGTAGGCATGTATGTGCAAAGCAAACTATAAAAGAATCAATAAATTACTAGTATTGCATCAAAGAATCAATATAAACATAATTACTGAAAGGTAGGAGCTCAACCTCTGGGTCAGTGTTGAACTCTTTGACAGCTCTGTCCCTCGAGACTAAAGACATAGAACCATCCAGTCTCCTGTATTCTATGCAATGCTGATTCAGTGACCATTCAACCAAGTCCAACATTCTCGTCCACTGAGAAAATACAATTGTTTTTATTGGTCCTTCAGCCTGCGAAGCTGATGAGCATCTCGGATCACCAATACCTGAACTAGAGGAGGTATTTCCTGTGAAGGAAGTGTTACCATTGCCTGCTGAATTTGATATTTCAGCTCTGTAATGGGACTGAATAATATCTAGAGTGGCTCTAATCTTGGAAGAAGCATAATTATCCTGAAAAACTGGAGAGTTCTCATTACTTTTCGACAAACATTCATAATGATCATCACCAGAGATACAACTCCTTAAGGTGGCTTCGCTAAATAAAACGTCGCTACCAATCTGACTTTTGCAATTAGGCGATGGGCACGTGTTGTCATCCCCTGTTAAATAGTCAGATACACACTGAAGGCAATAAATATGTCCACAGATCGTAATAACTGCATCCTCAGGTGGATCCTGTCAAAGCATCAAACTATTAATCATAAGACCTGAAAGCACAAAAAGCAAAACCAGTATGTATGCTAGTCAAATACCATGACTCCGATAAAATGTAATCTCTTCAAAATGCAGGTGGTGTTCACAATTTTGGAATTCGCGTACTAGATGAATGTAGGACTTATGCCAGCAGACCAACATGGAACATGAAATATCAACAAGTTGCAAAAATATTGAAATATTTTTTTGGAAACTATGCTTGCATTGCTCTTAGTTCTTACTGTAGTATTTGCTCAAATGTATAGCTACTCAAGACCACAATAGAAATTAGAATCTTCTGACTGAGAAATTGGATTTACACACTAGTTGTACACCTGGGCGGGTTTACGCTTTCATGCGACTTAAGTTGCATATAAGTCGCCCGCGTGCAAACAAGGCTTTTGCGGCTTTTGGGGCTTTTGGCACGACTAAACTCATGAGTAAACCTGCCCGGGTATACAACTAGCCCATAAACCCGCCCAGGTATACAACTAGCCATTTGGTCAACTTTTAAGTGGATTTTTAGGGTTTTTCTTCCCCCTCCTCATTTCTCTCTTCTTTGGGGCGATTTTGGGAGGATTGATGTCGTTTTGAGAGCTCTTTAAGGGCAAATGGAAGGATTAACATGGAGATTGAAGATCTATGGTTGGAGTCTCAAGAACTCTCAAGTTTGGTTGAAATCAAGGTTTGTCTTGGAGACGAATACCTCCATTGTAGAGTTCTGGGTGGAAGGTTTCAACTCCTTGAAGTGGCAAGTTTTCTTGAATATTTGAGATCTGTGTTTAGGGTTTTGTTGGCTTTGAGGTTGGTGTTAATATTTTGTGTCTATCGGTTTGATTTATGGTCTTGAGGATTTTCTTGAAGAGATTTGCTTGTGCCTTGTGGATCGCAGATCTTCACCCTTGGGAAGCTAGAAACTAGGTTTAACAACATGGTAAGGTGAGTTTCAAGTTGCTTTGTGAAAACTATGTACATGCCAAAAAATGACCATTTTGGAGTCTAGCGTTCTCCTTGATATTTATCAAATGTACTAATTACTTGATGAAATTGCGTACAACTGACTTTATAAAGTTTGTAAAAAGCTTACTTTTGGGGTTTTCGCACATTTTGCAAACAATTCGTAAAAGTGTGATATTCTGATGATAAATTGCATATAATGGTGATTATTTGACATTATTGTACCTTGGTGTAATGTTATAAATATTTGAATAATGCCTATGATTGGTTTGTTGGGTGCATTTTAGGTCTCATAACTCATTAAAGAATGTTTATGTTGAGTTATTAGGTATTTTGAAATATAAATCATACGAGTTCCCTCTTAGTGAGATTTGTTGCATCAAATGAGATTTTAATGGATATCATTATATTTTGGGTTGTAAGATTGCTTAAAACTCTTTAAAATGCATTTTTGGGATTCATAATGTTTCTTATTGAAATTAGTCAATCAAGTTGAAAAGTTTGCTAACTTGGATTGGAGTCAAATGTTGATTTTGAGATTTTGCCCAACCCATGAGCTATTGTGGTTTTTCTAACCGTTGGTTGATTGTTAGACCCATTTGGGCACTGACACGTTTACTTGTATAAATATTGCGAAATGCATGTCTTTGGTAATTTATCGTTTTAAGACGTAAGTCTCATGGATTAGAGTTGTGTTGGGATTGGCCCAACTTTTGGGTGTTCATTTGTGTGTGTGAGCATTAGATACTTATAATTTCATCATTTCTTGGAGTATACACGTCATTGGGTGTGTCTGATCCATCATACTATAATTTGCCAAGTTTTTGGTTTTGATGCTTCAACCCTTATGCATGAGGGTTAAATTGCTTTGTGTTATCAAGTAGGAAGTTTGAGGTTCCTATCTTGAATGCAAGTGTAGACACTAAAGATTGAATGAGAACCTTGAGGTGGAACTAAACTAGATAACGAATGGGCACTAAGGTTCGGTATTCTTGAGGTGACACTCAAAGAAGTGTGCACTAAAGATACGATCACCTTGAGGTGAAACTCAATGGAGTAGACACTAAAGGCATTGAGGACTTGAGGTGACACTTGATATAGTGGGCACTGAAGTCAATGAATCTAAGGTGTAGTTCGATCACTTTGATGCGTGACCTACTTTTATGTTCCACCATATTCAATAGAAACGGGTCTCCCCATCATCGAAAGAAGTATTTGCATTTTTGGAGTATTTGAGTAAAGATTATTTTTAGAAGGTGTTGTGTATTTTGCATTCATGTTTCAACCTGGGGAAAGTCGTTACTTAAAAGAGTGTTCGTTCAGTGTTACGGTCTTGCATTTAAAGTATGAACTGTTTGAACTCACTAGGCTTTATGCCTAACACTTTTTCTTGTCGGCATGTGCATCAGGCTCTTGTGGGGTTTGGTACTAGCGACACTTGTGAAGAGTTGAGTGCTAGTTAGAGGCTTAAGAGACGTCTTTTGTACTTTGACGATTGCAACTGTTCTTGGGTTTTAGTAACACTTGTCCCTATCATAGACCCGGTGAAAGATTTGGTCTGTAATTTATGATTTAAATCTTTACGTTTCTATTTTAGGTAATTCAAGTGTTATCCATAATAAAGGAATTTATTCTTCAATTCATGTATTATAGAAAATTAGAAATTTTAAATTAGTCGTTGTTTTCCTGATTTTGGGGTGTTACAAATTTAACATCCACAATTAACACCCTATAATGTACCAAGCCTAGAGCTGATCTTAAATAAGCCAACAGAATGATCAAATAAAAGAATTTGGTTCCATGTAATTCTACAAGTAAGGTACATATCAAGTAGCAACAAGCCACCAGCTTCATGGTTGTTCCAAATGGACCCAAAAGATCATAGTTGTAGGGGGAAAAGCCTCGGACATATGTATTTGTAGACCATGTTATTTATTTTTTATTTTGTACTTCAAACGGGGGCTAAAAGGAGGGTGATCAGTTATTAGGCCCAAAGACAAACACTAGGTCCTAACTAAGAGGAATTAAGTTGGAGGCTAAGGGAACTCACACTGCATAAAAGACATATATTTAATGTTTCCAAGAGATTCAACAAATTGGCTTGCATATCCTTTGGAAGATTCTTTGCCATCTTTGTAGAAGCTGGACCGACCGATTCTGAACTAAACCCCTTAACCAGCAATGGATGGTCACAAGCTTGGCGAAGGCGCAGAAGCATCAATAATATATTTGCATAATTTTGTCTCACAGTGCCTGCAGCTGCATAAGCCTGAAAGAGAGTGGTTAAGAAGTACGCAAAATAAACCAGATTCATTGCTGCGCATATATAATTAAACTCTGACCTTTCTGCCTGATCGTTTCCCATAATTTTTTTTGCAGATGTCATGTTTGTATCAAAAAAACGATTACATGCTTAACAACAATCTCCTGGGAAGTTAACAATATGGAGCACATAAAATTGTTCAGATATGCAAGACTAAGGGACTGCATGTTAGCAACTTAATAAGCTTAATGTGACTTGCAGCTTATTCAGTCAACTATACATGACTGTTTGGTAGTGGCTTATTGATATAGAAAGTGGCGTATTCAGTAAGCTTCTAAGGGGGAGCTTTATGCAGAAAGCCAAGTTTTTTCCAAACCTCCCCCTCCCAATTAAAAACTACACATACGCTCCTTCAATCTATGATAAAACCTCCCAACCAAAAACCTTCCCAATCTATACAGTCAGATTAATTCACAGAGACAGCTTTATCCATACAGGACTTAATGGAAAACCAACCAAATAGCCCCTAAGAACTTTAGACAGATACAAATAATTTGCATGAAGATCCTTAGCTATTATATGTGCAAGAGAATGGAAATAGTCTAATTATCTAGCTTGCATATACATTGATCTGAATTTCAAATGCAATAGATCTAGCTTTCAACAGCATATAACATATACGAGAGATGTTGAAGGGGACTAGATGCTAATTTTATATCTGGTAGATTGCTGAAAGAAAACAAGCTCTGATTTAGTCCTTGTAACAAGTGAATAAGAAACTGTCGATACCGCCGTCAGATGTCATCGTAGACCAGATTTCGTACCAGAAGTAGATTTGAACCCATAACTAATTGGTTATGTAAAAGACACATAAACCAATAAGCCACACTCGGTTATTGTGTCCGATGTCATGTATGACCTAAGATATCAACAAAGTATGGTAATCTTATACTAAAAATATTAACTAGAACTTCTTCAGTCCAGGCCAAGTGATGCTTGGAAGTCGAGTGTGAGTAAATAAATAACTGGTAGACCTACATGCTTGTTTCATCTAATAGAGAATATTGAACAATTGAATTTGATACTACTACGAAAGTCATTGGCGTCACCAGAATAACTAATGTTTGTTATTCCCATGCCCATCTATGCTGTTATAGCGGTCAGGACCGATATTTGAAACAACGGTTATAGCAGTGGTATAGCGGTCCAAAAATAGCGATTCATATAATATTTCTTAGAATTTTATACAAATATATATAGAGGGAGGATCATGCGAGATATAAACTAATTCGCAAGAAGACGAGAAGAAACATGGACCGCATAATCCATTAATTAAAAAATACCATTAATAAAAAATTAAAAATAATTTTAGAAATCAGGATAATTATCATTTTGAATTAGATAAATCCTTAAAAATCTCATTATATTTTTTAGATTTATTTAATCTTTACATTTTAATTGATTCGTAATTTTTTTTATCAAGTTCTATATAATTTTTTTTCTAGATACACTTTTCGTTAATTTTTTCACAATTTTCAATAAATATCACATGTGAGGTCCACAATCAATTCATTATTTTTTTCTCTATATACATAATTATATGTGATTATTGTAGATATTTTAGTTAATCATATATGATTATGTATATTTATATTTATGGATCTTTTTGTGATATAAATATTATCACATGTGATAATACGTCACTTATATTCGAACGTACATTATCAAAAGTTATATGTACAAAACTTCACATAGTATAGTAGATCATATGTGATATGTAATAGATCATATGTTAAACGAAGCTAATCACATGTGATTCAAAACGTGGATCCAAAAGATAGAGAAAAAATTGTGAAAAGAATAATGAATTGATTGTGGATATCACATGTGATATGTTATGAAAATTAGAATTTTTTTTAATCAAAAGTATATCTAGAAAAAAAATTAAATAAAACTTGATAAGGAAAAATTATGAATTAATTAAAATTTAAAAAATAAATACATCTAAAAGATATAATGAGATTTTTAAGGATACACCCAATCAAAATGGTAATTATCCTAATTTGTAAAATTATTTTCCACTCTTATTTATGGTAGTTTATTAATTAATATATTATGTGGCCCAAATTCCTTTTCGCCTTCTCACAAATTGACCGCCTTCCCATTTGAACCTTCCCCTATATATATATATATATATATATATATATATATATATATATATATATATTGTTATGTTAACGGATTAAAATTAAAACATAGCCCAAATCAAAATAAAAAGCCTAATTGCGCAAGTCAAAGACTCAAAATAAAGCCCAAGAAATGCCCAAACTATTGCAGACCGCAAGTTGACCCTAAATATCAGTTAAATTGCAGTAAATTGCGCCAATATTAGCGGCACTGCTATTTGACCACCGATATCCGATATTGCGCTGCAATTAACAACATAGATGCCCATAAAGCATATTCAGGACCAATATGTCTTTGCTATTATTTTTCACTCTTTCTATCATGGGTATAAAGTTACAGTACTCAGATCACTGTCAATTTATCAAAGAAACATCAACACTCAAAGACAACAAAAGAAGGGGCCTGAAATATAAGTTATCATTTTGAGAAGCACGCCTAAATCCCTTGTTTTACATCCTGGACAAGTTTCTATCTACTAGTAACTAGAAGAAGATGTAACTAGCAACAGAATAAGGTTCAGGGAAGATGACAAGAAAAAAGCACCTTGAATTGAGAGCGTGATTCTCTTTCTAGTTTGCGGTAGAAAGTCCGTTCCTCGGCTGAGAAATCCACAGTTGCCAAATTTATTATTTTTGGAGGTAAGTTGATAATGGGCTTACCATCAATCAAAGTTTCTGGACCAAAAAACCCCGATATGATCAGCATCATGCAACTTCAAAAAGAAATATGGAAGCACATAACAAACTGAAATCAAGCATTGACTATGCCACACAAAGATCGATGCATGTACAGTGAGCAAACAAAAGAAACATAAATTGATCTATCAACTACATATAAAACCAGAAATGGGTATCATGGTGTAAAAAAATATTTTATGACCAAGCACCACAAGAAAAACAATCATATCACCCCAAGAAGAGAACCGCTGATTAAGTGAGGTCAAAGTTCGGCAAGCAAATCACTCCCATTAACAACCATGATCAGTTCTGAAGGATCAGGATGGGCTATTAATACTAACCATCTACAATAGCGCATTAGCATCGGTAATATCATTGCACCATTATCAAAGATACATATATCCATCAGTGCATAATGAATTAAAAAAAACTAGTGAGAAGGTTGTGATGATAGGTTAATAATCTAGTGAACTAAAATGGCTTAAAACAACAGTTCCATTTGATAGAAATATATAAGGTTTGTCAAACCATAAGCTATTTGTCCCACAAAGATATACATAACTTAGCAAGATAACACGTTTAACATACAAAATAGGAGCACATAAATTTTATGTGTTTCATCTAGGTGCATGAGACATAATCTCACACAAGCATAATCAAAAGATGATCTACAATTAGTAAGTCAGCACATCTGCATACATTAATTCAACATTAAAAAAAAAAGCAAGAAGATGCATGAAAAGTCACCTTTTGTTCGGCGAAGCATTATTGCCTTTAGCACGGCTTGAAGTTTCATATAACCCTGCATTGAGTTTCTGGATATTGGGATCTTTATTTGATTGCAAAAAGATTTGTGGTTTGCATATGGTTCACATTTCAGAAATCTGAAATAGCTGAAAAGTTCATCAATTGAGTTCTGTATTGGTGTTCCAGATAAGCACCACCTCTTTTTTGCCCTAAGGCCACAGCACGATTTAGAAACCCGGGTACTGCTATTTTTTATTGTTTGAGCTTCATCTAATATCACCCTGAACCAATGCACTTTTGCAAGAGTGCCACTATAATCAGCTGCAGAACTGTGGATACCTTTTCTACCCTTCTTTCCTTTCTTGCTAACATGAGACTGCTTCCTTTTCTTATTAGCAAATTCAGAAGACGATCTATGCACATCCCCATCTTTTTTATCATCATCATCCTCCTCATTAGACGTTTTGGTTGGGACCTCTTTTGCCACAATGGAATATGTCGTGAGGACAACATCATATTTTGCTAGTTCGACAGGATCCTTAGTCCTATTGCCTCCATGATAGATTAGCACGTCAAGTTTAGCTTCATCTGCAACTTTCTCATCCAACTCTCGGGCCCACTGTCGTAGCACACTTGCTGGACACACAACCAATGAACCTGCTGGAGGCTTCCGATTGCGAAATTCTTGTGTTGAACTTAAACTATTGACCTTAGTAATTAACTTCACTTCATCAGATTCTGCAGCCTGCTTGTCTTCGTCCAAAACTAATGTGTCTTTATCATTATCATCATCTAAATCCAAGGCTTCAGCTTTTGAAACGCAAGGATCCTCTGCTTTAGGTCTTCTTGAAAATTTCTGCATCTGTATAAGTGCAATGATAGAAATGGTCTTGCCAAGGCCCTGTCAAAGAGATGTATAAAATATGAAAAATTATATGCATCTAAATCCTATATGGTGGATAAATGGTGCTACTGAATAAGATGGCGACAGTATTACAAGGCAGTAGTAGTACCTGATCATCAGCCAAAATTCCACCAGAACAAGCCACACTGTTCTCCTTCTGAAGCATCCAGGCCAATGCAATTTTCTGCAAAGACATTATAACATATGGAACCATCAAAACATTATCAATTAATTAAATCGAAACAAATTGTAACTGGATGCATACAAAACCTGGTGCCTGAAAAGAGAGACAGACAAAAGACCATCAGGTAAAGTTGTTTCAAGTACTGGTTGGTGAAGACCCTGAAAAGAAAACAACTATAACCTTTAATGCATGACATATCAATCAAAAGATAGGGTACAGATAATCAGAAGCACCAACCTCTATCATACAAAAGGTAGCTTATGGATGATCAGCATATATCATACAAGAAAATGCTAAAAGGTCTTGGAGAATATAAGAGCTGTTTGGTTCAGACAGGGGAATGAAAATGACATCCCCCCCCCCCGGGTTTAACCTGGAATGAGAATTTGGGATTATGGGGGAGTCGACCCATTATATTATATAAAAACCAAATAGTTTCTTTTATTTTCAATCCCATTAATTACTGCTTAATACCTCTAACCAAACAGTCTTCCTTGGTGCATGCCTTCTAAGGGGCTGTATGTTTGCCTCTTAATGATGCCATGAAGAGGCAACCTCTTAATCATACAGAGGTATGCCTTGTTTGGCAGAAAAATTAAAGCCTCTTAATGGTGACAAAAGGCTCTGAGCGATTTTTTGCCTAGGTCTAGACAAAATGGTTCAGAAGTGCTATTATTCCACATTTGCCTCTATCTATCGCCTCCAAGCTTTCTTCTCGTTTCCACGAAGCATTCCTCCCACGACAGAAGCTGTCCTACGATCTCCTCCCACGCCATTCCCAGGTATCTCCCTGCTCTCCATCCCGTTTTTTCATCTCTGTTCTCCATCTCTCAGATATCAATTTCTCCATATCTGCTCCCATCGATTCTGGTTTTAGTTTCTGATTTGGTTCAACAGCCATCCATCAAGTTCTCCATGTCTGCTCCCAATCAATTATAGTTTTGGTTCAACATCGATTTGGTTTCTGATCTGGTTGAATTCTTTGGTGATTACCAATTAGCCATCCATAATTAAATCAGACAGATTCTAGACCTTGCATTTTATTTGGTTGCTATTTAGGTGCACAGATTACCAATTACCGATTATCAATTATCTGGTTTATGTATTACCAATGAGAAAAGAACGGGATGTTTTCATCATTGGTCAAGTTGGAGACTGGAGCATGATAAAGGGAACTAAATCAGGCGCTATCATTTGGTCCAAAAACTAATTCGAGTATATGAAACATGATGCCTAAAACATAGAATATTAGCAATGGATTATAACTACACAAAATGATCCTCTTCATGGAACAGGGAGTTGTTGAAGGAACAGGAAATGGGTTAGTGTGGTGCATAGACTATGAAACATATTGCCCCAACATATAATATTAACTAATAAAAATCTTGATAGTGGAATCGCATTGATGCTTCCTAACTAGTAACTAGTAGTAATCCTTATTGCTTCAATACCTATTAATTTGTTTTCTTGTGATCTCAGGTCATTTCTGGGAGAATTGATCAAAAAAAGTTTTATCAGATCTTGATACAAGTAAATACCAGGAGCGGTTACCCAAAATGCTGAGACAGTTTCATTGATGTGTACTGAAGGTTTCATACGGTTTACCATACTTTTATTTTAGCATTTCTTCCATTGCTTAGCTCAAATGAAGCATCTATATTTTCCATGTACATAACAATGTTGTACTTAAGTACATCAATGAATTTGTATTAGAGAAGTTTGGGTCGAGTTTAAGATTATGCCTTTTTCCATATCAATGTTGTTTGGAACTAGTAATATTGACTATGTAGTTATATTTGCAAAGTAATCATTTTAATTAGATATTTAGCAAACAACTATATTTCATTCAAAACTGAATCATACAGAGGGCTCATATGGTAATTTGTTGTCATTCAGACTGTCAATTCAGAACATTTACCAAACAACCATATTTCATTTTGCACTATATCATACAAAGCCTCTTAAGCATTCTGACCACTACTTAACCATTTAGCAACTGCCAAACAGCCCCTAAGTCAACCTCATGAGAACTATGGGGTCCATGGCACAGAGAAGGGAAGTTCGATATTGATAAGTTAACTTGCAACCCATTTGTTTGCATATCCTGCTCTAAACCATTATAATCCTTTCCAATAACCAACTTCATCAAAATATTTAACAGGTTCAAAAAGGAAGCTTTACCAAAAAGACAAATTCCTTGAATACACATAAATTGTATATCTATACTAAGTGAATCGACAAATCTTCATCTTCATTCTACACAAAATGTAAATGCAAATGCAAGCCTCCGATCCAAGCTTTATCTTTGAACAACTGTTAGAAGTACATGATCACGGCCGGAAGTATTGGAAAAGAAGTTAAGAAATCATATTTAATATAAAAAAAGAGACCAGATAGCATATCTCGATATGCCCATGTCCTACAGTCAGCGTACCAAGGATCCTGATCTCATATATAGAATGTCAAAGCAGTTTGTAATGTAATGACAAACAGAGAAACTAATACCCGTAATGCTACTTCATAAATATGCCTCTCGTCACCAGCTGTTTCTTGAACTGCCCCAGGCTGATAAGGATCAGATTGACCAGCATATCGTGTAGCTGGAACAGACATGGAGCCCTGCATCCAGGGAGGTAATACCCTACTTCCATGATGGTTTTTCATAGCTACATCGTAGTTGGGCCTACTGAAATTGTCTTGCATATGAAGGTTTGTATGACTTGAAAGTGCAGGAGGATAAGGTTTTCCATAATTTTCATGGATTTGACTGCTACCCACATCTTTTACTCGAACACTCGGACTGGAATTAGATGAAGACGGCTGAAGGGTTGATGGAAGCATTCTTTTGGCACCTTTTGGGTGTAACTGGTTATCGAAGTCTGTACCTAACATAGCAGCGATTTCTGTAATCAATATGATGTTATTGAGATATATCACCAAATAGATAAAATAACAAGCCCATGTTACCATTATTTGAAGAAACTTTGGTGTGCTTGCCATGCCTATCTATGTTTCTATTTGAATTTCTAACATTTTTTGAAGAGGATGACTGCCCATTCAAAGCAGATTCTCTTTTAGAAGGATTAGACCTTTGAGCCGATCCACGCAAACCTAGAATTTAGAGAAAGGTCTAGTAAGAAAAAAAACAAAAAAGGTTTTTCTGTAGCCCTGTGAATCTCACCTCTAGAGATTGTGTTTACCTGTATCACTTGGCACAGATGCAGAAGCCCATGCAGGAAGAACCCTAGAATTGGATGATGAAGTAGCTGAATCATTCAATACCGAGTCATTTAATGCTTTATACATCTCCACATCCCAATCACTGGAATCACTATCTATTGAACTAACATCTATTGATTCCATTGCAGACCCAACGACTAAGTAGTTATTTTTCCTCTCCAAGATCAGTTCCAAAGAAGTAACCAATGGTAAACCAACCTGCAATTAAACAGAGACCCTTCAGTGTCCAAAAGTTCGCAAAATATACCCTCAAAAACCCTTGTAACAATTCCAAATTGAGAGACCTCGCAATCAAGAAAGTAACATCGCATGCAACATACAATTAATCAAAAGCAACTAAACGAGACCAAGAAAATGTCGGTCTTCGCCAAGAAATCAGATAATCGTCAAATCCTAGTAATGGGTTTGACATATGACGAACTGAAAACTTCATTCATGAACCCATGAATACATATATGTGTTTGTGAGTCGATGTTGCTACTGTGCATATCAAGAGAAAGAGAGATTGGTAGGATTACCTGATGATTATCGCCTGCATCACGATGATAACTGATTTCTTGCAATTAGTGCAAAAACCCTAAACCCCCGATGAGACATTCTTGATTTTCCCCAGGTTGGTCGCAACACTGCGCTTGTAACAAATGTTTTTGAAATGAAGTTGCCCAAATTCTTGGCCTTCAAATGCCCCCACCACCCTTTGTTCGTACATGAGAAACAATCGGTGCGTCCCCAAAGATAAAAATAAATAAATTGCTGATAAATAATTTAATTGGCATGGTTGTTTGGCTTTTAATGGTTACGTTAAGAGAAAACCTTTTAATCGGTAAGAGGCAGAGACTGTTTAGAAGAAAAAAATGAACCTCTTACAAAAGTCTCTTTAACCATTTTATGTCTATGGCTCCACTAAATGGTTCAGATCTAACTTATTCCAAGTTTACCCTTCTCACCCCTCTCTTCCCGCCGCTCTCTTCATGATTTCCATCTCCTTCTCAAATCCCACGGTCTCCTTCCTACGTCGGCTTCCACGATCTCCATCGTTCCTCCTCCACAGTCTCCATCGTCGGTTGTCGCTTGTCATCCTCGTTGTGGTATTTCCCTCAATCGATAACTCCATCTCTGCATCTTTCCATCGTCTCCATCTTCTGTCCCACACACTTTTAGGTATTTCCCTCTTCTCCATCTTCTGTCTCCATCTTATGTCGATTAAACAAAGAATATGAAGTACAATAAAAAAAATATTAAACAAAAAAACTGAGTTGAGAGACCAGTTGCTTGTGTGATTTGCTGGAAAAACGAGGCAGTGGTTGTGTGATTTCCAAACTCTTATAAGTTACAAAAATTCTGAGACAATGGTTGTGTATGCAATGGCTTATAAGTTAAACATATTTATATAGAAAATATCATAGTGATAAAACCTTAAGGACATATGGAAAAATGTACAGGTCAAAAATGGTGGTCTTTTTGTTGTTGTTTTCCTTGTTTTTTAGTTTTTTTAAGTAGTTTTGGCAGTCAATTCTTTGAATACATGGCTAATTTACGTGATCAAATTGTGAATCAGTTAATGTTAAATGTGTCAAATTAAGAATTGTTCAAAAACTATTATGTTGAAGTTTGATTGTTATGTTTTTGTTTATTCTATAATTTGAACAAGTAATGTTATGTTGGTTTGGATTAATATGAAATCTTGTTTTGAACAAGTAATGTTATGTTTGTTTGGATTAATAATAAACTAAAAGAGTATCCACGCAATGCAACGAGATGAATCTCCATTCTAATATTTATTTTTTATTTTTTGTCTCTATCAATATAATACGATTTAATAATATAATATATTAACAAACAGACAAAATAGTAAAAAAAATGTATAATGGTATAATATGTTAATTAAAAAAATTTAAAATGATTATATATAATATAAATTTTGGATTTGCTAAAATAAATTTAAAAAGAATCTACAAAAATTTACATTATTTTATGATTTTAAACAACCATCGCATATAATATAAATATAAATAAATTTTGTCAACTTCATGTATAATAATTAGTTATTAATTTTTTAGAAAACTATAATTAATATTTAAATTAAATATTTTATTATAATTATTCAACACAGTTTAATCATCCCTAAACAACTTGCACATTGTAACAGCCTCAAAATTTGGAGAGTGCGACAAATTTAAAATTTTCAATAATACATCAAATAAGGATTAAAATCACTTTCTAAAAGTAATCAATTGATTACCTACAATGGCAATCTAAGATTTAACTTTAAAACATAATATTCCAAATCTTTCACAAGTCTATAGCTACGGACAAGTGTTACTAAAATCCAACGAACCCCCAGATAAGCTATTTCTTTTTCGTGCACCTAACTAGCATTCAACTTTTCGGTGTCGCTAGTACAATTCCCCAACAAGAACCTGATGCACATACAGACAAATAAAAGAGATTAGGCTTATCGTCTAGTGAGTTCAAACAGTTTTCATCATGATTATAAAAGGTAAAACTGAAAGACTATTTATTTAAATCATAAATTCGTAAATGAAATGTTTTATCGTAAAAACAACATCTTTCTAAAACCCACCATTTTTGTGATGAAAACTCGTCAATCAAAGCACTCATTTATCTGAAACCAAAACCCAATACTCACACAACCGAAAATAAAACTTGATGTTCAAATATCGAAAACAAAAGTAAAACTCAAGTACCCCAAAGCAACCACATATGAACAATAAACAACTACCAAAGCATGAAAATTTTGGATACTCTTCATACCCAGAACACCACAAAAACGTGAAAGAAATATTGTATCCAAAACCCACCTTTCATTGACGGGGGAGACCCGATTCCATTGACAATGACGGAACACATAAGTAAGCTAAATTCCAATGTTATATAAGCATCAACTTGTGGATAACAAATCATTAATATCAACCTTTTCGGGTTTATAGTTAATGAGTTAACAAGCTCAACTATTCAAGTCTTTTGCTTGTGGAGCAAATAAAACCTGGCAAATGTCCTCAAGACTCATCTGAGTCAAAAACCAAGCCAACATCTCAAGACTCAATTGATCATAGGCACCATTAGTAACAACAATTTATTTAACTAACGTTTTTTCAAACACATGTTCTAAATACATGATTAACTCAAAAAAACCATCATTGTTTGGGACAAACCATTTTCCAATTGAAATCATACCATTTATATTTTCACAATGTCCCATAACGTAATAACATGCATTTTTAAAATGCATAATCACTAAACAACATCCATTTATTAGATAAATCATGAAAAGAATCATATCAAGGTGTCCAAAACCCCCAAATAAGGGCATCTTATAAACCAAATATGCAAAACTCACCAAATAACTCACACATTTGATAAATATCAAGTCAAACACATTAATACTTCAGAACGAACATTTTTGGCATGTACAAAGTTTTCACAAATCAAATTGAACTCACATTGCTAGGTTAAGCTAAATATAGGTTCCAAACCCAAACATTTAAGGGGTGTTTGGTTAGAGGTAATAAGTAATAATCAATGAAAATAAAAATAAAAATAAAAGAATCTGTTTGGTTTTCTATCATATAATAGGCTAATTCCTTCATAAGCCCAAAATTTCGTTCCTGGTTAAACTAGAGGAATGAAAATTCATTCTCATTTTCATTCTTCAACCTGAGCCAAATAGATCTTTAGCTTCCATTGGTGACAACTTGATAAGCAAGATCTCTACAAATCTTGTATAGGCAACAACCCACGTCTATAAATGTAACAACTATCAACCACAAGTTAGATATAAGAGAAATCCCCAAAATGGAGCTCAAAACACCCAAATATGCTTAGCTCTCAAGATCTTGGAACCACCCATCAAGGATCTTCGATCTCCATGTTAACCCTTCCATTTTGCTCTAAAAAGTTCCCAAAAATGTCCTCCAAATCGCCCTAAACCAAGAGGGAATGAAGTTTAGGAAAAATTGGGCCTTAAAAGATGTTCCAAGAGGCTTCCCGCTACCTAAGTCACATGGCTAATCGCACGTGTAGAAAAATTCAAAATTTCAGAATAGAAAGTGCGTGACTTGACCACCGCTTGAAGTGACGAAACAAGTGGCCCTACTTTCTATTTGCTCCCTAAACACCCATATCTCTACCAAAACTCTCTCGCACCAAATGTTTTCATGGTACAATCAATTCCACTTACTGAAGACCTCAAAAAGCTCATAAAAAGAAACGTCAATCCCAAAATGTTATATCCACAAAAATCCGAGTGTTACACACATAGACAATAGGAAATACTTGAACAGTTGTCTCAATTGAACCAACCAAATCTATTGACTGTAGTATGTACTAACACTCTAAACTAATTTGAATCAGGACATAAATGAAACTCTGAACTGATTTGGACATTTGGTTTTTCATTGTTTACCAAATCACATTTTAGAAAGCAAACCTTTTCATTATAATGGAAAAAGACAAAACCTTACAAAAAGAAAACAACTTTTTGATATAATTCTAAATTATTTGAAAACTTTATCAAAATTTAAACTAAAACAAGAAAATTTTAGACAAAGAAAAAAACCATTTGACGCAATACCAAAGTATTTGAATTCCTTCAAAATTCAATCTTGTGCATGTTCTACAACATATAATTTGATATCTTTTTTTCGGTGCAATTATAATAATTATATGGACAAATTGCATGAGAAAAATAACATACTTTAACTTGATTCCTATTTTGAATAACATAATTTCAAAACTTTCATTTTAGTATCTAAGATGTAAAATTTTAAACATTTAAGTACCCGGTTTAAAACTTTACATCTTAAATACCAAAATGAAAGTTATGAAAATACGTTACTCAAGATAGGAATCAAGTTAAAGTAAGCTATTTTTTATGCAATTTATCCTAATTATATAGAAAATAAAATAAAACATAAAATATATTGGATTATTAGACTTTGCTATATCAAACATCAAACACAACAAAATTGTCAAATCAAAGAAATAAATAAATAATTTTATGAACTTGCATTTATTTTACATATCTTAATGTGAAAACATGATTTTCTTAACATCAATGAGTAAAATAATATTCCTAAGTTTTGAATTTTCTTAAACTTTTTCTTTCTTGCATTCACATCCAAAATATGTTGTTATATATATATATATATATATATATATATATATATATATATATAGGGTTGGTTTCACGTGAGACCAAACGTTTTTCGTGAGACCCGTAAAACCCATTTATGTTCATTGATCAACTTTATAAGTTAATGATCTAACGGTCTAAATTGCACGGTGGCAATTTGGCAATTATTAAGAAATCTTGTGGCGTTTATGAATGTTTAGATTGTCAGATTATAGATATAATCTAAGGGTTGAGAATTGGTCTTACGGGTCTCACGAAAAACCTTTAGTCTCATATGATCTCAAGTCTCTCTCTCTCTCTCTCTCTCTCTCTATATATATATATATATATATATTTTCTCATCAATCTAGATATCAAACCCGTTATGCAAACCGACTAATTACAAAACAACCATCCGATGTTGTTACATCATTTGATGCCAATATCAAAATTCTTCCTAAATTACAGAAGACATTCTATCTTATCATTATTATATCATTCACACTACAACTGAGTTTTAGATAATCCAAGATAAAATCATGATAGAAAATTATTAAAATATGCATTTCCCTTTATTCATCAAAACCAAATGGGTTTAGGTGGAACTGATTTGATCTAATCATCCAATAATTGTTAGATTTTGTCATCCGATCCAATGTAAGACGATGAATGATTGAATTGGATCAGATCAATTCCATCAAGCAGATATTACTATTGGTTGTCTATTGGATCAAACTGAATCCATCTAATATTTTGAAACAATTTTCAACCAATTAGTCATATATTTTTTTAAGTTAATAGAAACCATTACTAACAAATGTCAACTAAAAATATAGTAAAATATTAATAATTATATATATTTATTAATTAGATGGTGATCGGATGATAATTAGATGAGTAACTGGATAGATTCGATTTTCTTGGATTCTGGACTAGCATCCAAGAACCGACCGATCATTTTGGATGATGAAATTTTATATCCAATCCCATTACAATTGAATATCTGATTATGGTCCATCGGTTCTAGTTAGATCAGTCAGTTCATATTGAATCAGATGACCTTCTTCACACCCTTGTATGTTAGTTTAATCGTTTCCCCGTTGGAATGGTTTAAATCCCGAAGAAGTTTTTGACAATCTAATATTTAGCTTGAACCGCGACGCTAATGTTAATAGACGAACAATACAAAATACCAATAATTCATCACCGATGGAATTTAAAATTCACAATTATTTTAAAATTATTAAATAGTTTTAAATATGTTGTCCGATTACTATTTCATTCTAATTGTATCGTCAAACGTGAGACACCAAGTATTTATTATGTGCTGACCCGCATAAAAGTCGCACACGTAATAGAGGGTTGGGGCTGCCCAACGAGTTACGACCATTTCATCCAACTAATATATAACCGAGTCTTTAAACGTAACGGTGGTTTGAGAAACGGTCGTTACGACCATCTTCCTTTGTCTTTATGCCTCCAATCAATTTCCACATTCACATTAAGCCCTCTTGGAAAGCTCCGTTCAAAAGCAAGAACAAGAAACTGTATATCGATCTTTCCAAAGAAAAAAGTCTTCAATGGGGAAGAAAATGAGCAAAGCTTCTATCAAATTCTCCAACAACTATAACCAAAAGAAGAGCCACCGCCGCCACTGGCACCACCAGAACCACCACCGCCACCACCAGCTCAACACCTTGAGGCCCAGGGTTTACATCACTAGATCATCAGGCTTCAAGACCCTAGTTCAAGAACTGACTGGATATGATCATACCGCCGCCAACCCACCCGTTCTTTCCGCCATCCCTCCGCCACCACCAGAAGCAAGAAGCCCTGGTTTACAGATTAACTGCAATGATCAACATACTGATAACAACGATCACGACTGCAACAGTCACGATAACATGTTGTCCTTTGATGATCTGGATTCACATTGGTTAGCGCCTCCTGATAACACCAATCGTTTATCTGACGAGTTACTAGGCTCGCAGCAGCAGCCACCATCGTTTGTGCCAAAAACCGCCAATCAGGTCGGTCTTTCGCAGGATATGAATATGGAGTCGTGGCTTCTTGAAATTGGTCCATCTGCTTATATGCTTGATTGAGCGTATGTTTCTACGAATATGTATGATGTATCGTATGATCATGTAAATGTTCCGTAATTTGGACATATGTTGGTGTACATCCGTATTGTATGTCGTTCGTTGTTGTAGATTGTTTCATTAAACCTCTTTTTTACGTTATTGATCAACTGTAGGATTCAAATCAACTGTCGTTGGTGGTGAATAAGGACAAGCGTTTTTACATTTCAAATATGTTTTCAGCTTTATAACAACAGGGGTCAAGGGAGTTGCACCCCTTGTGGTGGTCCTGCTATATAGTAGTGGCTGACACTTATTGGTGTGATCGGCACATGCTTTCAGTGGCACTGATCTATTGGTCACTCATGCTTATTAGTCACTGCTCACTTAGGGGTCGTTTACTAAACGCTTACCGGATAAGCACTTTAAGGCAAGAGTCACCACTTTAATCTACCTTATCGGGTCACATTATCGGTCATCAAAATGGATTGATGGTAAGTGTTTACTGGGTAAGTGTCATCACTCTCACTTACCGAGTAAGACTCTCGATCCTTGCTTTCCCTCCGGTAAGATTCTCGGTCCTTATTATGTTCATCTATCCGGTAAGGTAATTGAATCGGTAAGCGCTTACCAAGGTGAGTGTTTAGTATACGGAACCTTACTCTTTTAACTGCTTGCAATCGCTAGTAACTGCCGGTAACTGCCTACCTCTAAAAGAAGCTCTTGGTCTCGTTTTTACATAAGAACAGAACAAGATCTCTGTGTTTCAATCTCGTTTTCTGCCTAGTTTTTACATGAGAACATAACAAGATCTGTGTTTTATTCTCGTTTTCTGCCTAAAAACCAGAGGGAATTTGGATTATCCTCAAGTAAATTTCGTGAAACCGAGGTGGTAATAGGTTCGGAAAGTGTTTTCTACAAGTCAGATTTTATTGATTTATCACCCAAACCCAAATTCCCGAACCAACATTGGAGCTGCTAGACTCGAACCCTAGCCAGTTTGTGCCCGTATACAACCCCAGAATGAACTATGGGGCTTCAGAAAATAATGGAAATCAAATTAATCAAGCAGTAAGTAAGCATTTCACATTGTCATTATAAATATCTAGTTGGCAAGGAAAGGAAGCAAAGGTATCTACATGAACCCAACAGCAAGAAAAGAAACAATTAATCTGTGAATTCTTGGTACCTTTCTTATGAGTAGTAAGGCTGCTTTAATTTGCTCCATTACAATGAGGAATGCAACTGTTGGATTTGGTGTCGACGTGATTTAGTCCCCAAATGCGTATTGTACGGTCATCACTAGCCGAGGCCAGCATATGTGGGTTCGTTGGGTTCCAGCTGACACAGTTCACAGCACCAGAATGGCCTCCCAATGTTTCTATCAGCTCTCCTGATCCTCTGTGCCATATGTAAATCTACAGAAATTGGTTATTATCCATCTTTTAGTTAATAAAGAGAAGTGGCTTACAAGTCGATCATCGGCCAACCAAAATTGTTAACAAATGTTTCATGCTCGTGCATTTAAGAAAAGATATTACTCCCTCCATCCCAAATAAATATTCACAATGAAGAAGGCATACAGTTTTAGAAATGTGTACTTATTACATTTCTTTTAATTAATAGAGGGAGTAAAGAATTTCTCCGTCCCAAAGGTAGACTTGGAAAGTACGCAATTACTTTTGAAAGCGGACACTTATTTTGGGACAATACTAAAATAGAAATGTGGACGCTTATTTTGGAACGGAGGGAGTATCATCAAGATCCAGTACTTCCACAAATAAATCCTCCCTCCATCCCACAAAATTGCAAATTGACTTCTGACACATAGTTTAACATAGAGATGCACAACCCATGCTTTTTCAGGCCTGGGCCTTCCAAGCCTGTTTCCAGAGAGCAAAAGAAGGCCCAGGATTTTTTAGGCCTGGGCCGGGCCGGGCCGGGCTTTGGGGTTGAAAAGGACCCCAGTGGGCCTTTTCAGGTTGGGGCTTTTGGCTTTTCAGGCTTAACCGGGATTTCCCAAATCGGAGCTTTTCGGCCAAAAACTCAGCCTGATCGGGCTTTGAGGCCTGGCCCAGACCAGGATTTGGACTAACTAGGCCCAGGCTTCGGGCCTTGCCTTTTTTTCGCATCTCTAGTTTAACAAGTGCCTTTGACTAATAATCAAATGCCTAAAACGTCTTTTAAGAGAAAACTTGTGAACGAAAATCAATCTTACAAATTTTTGTAATGAATAAATGGAAAATTTTGGATTAGAATGTTACCAAAAAAAGAAGAAGCAAATGTCGCATTCTTTGGGACGGAAGGGGCACTACCTATTTGTAAAATTTCATACTCCCTCCGTCCCAAAATAAATGTCTACATTTCTATTTTTGTTTGTCTGAAAATAAGTGTCCACTTTCAAGAATAAGTGTTTATTTTCCAATTCTATCCTTAATTATCAGATTGAAAATTCTTAACTCTCTTATCATTAAGGATACAATTGTCATTTAGAATATTAAAAAATATATTGATTACACATTCCTAATACCGTGTGCCTTTTTCATTGTGAACATTTATTTTGGAACAGAGGGAGTGCTTCATTCACATTTTCAGATACCTAAATAGCACAACAAAATATACCTGTGAATCTTCACTGCCACTGGCAATAAACGCTTGCTGAAATCCACCAAAGCACGCTCTAACAATGAAGCGAGAACGTCTATGACCTCTATACTTGGAAACAAATCGAATATGGCCCTGAATACTCCAGAGGTGCAATTCTTCATTCACAAGACTAACCAGCAAGAACTTGTTGTCCCAAGATAACGTGAACGAAACTATCATTTGATCCTCTTTGATACATCTTTCCGTCCCTGATTCTCTGTCAAGAATAACTATCATATTTTCCTTACAAATTGTAATCAATTTCCCATCACTAGTCGTTTGCAAGTCCGAGATCCTAAGAGTCTTTTGTCCCTTTAAACAATCCATCTCTTTTCCATCCAAATCCCACATCATTATGCTTTTATCAGTCAATCCCGAAAAGATCCATTTCCCATCTGGAGACCAGCTACAAGAAATAGAACCAATGAGACCCTTCTCGTAAACCTGAAGGCATTCACCGGACGAAATATCCCAACGCCTGATAACTTCCTCTGCACCACATGTGAGGATCTGATCATCACCCGGGCTCCATGAAACACATGATACCGGTTTTTGGTGGCCGATTAATCTATGCTTTAAAGAGACTCTACCCTCCAAATTAACCTTTAAGAAACAAAATCAAGAAACTCATAATAGGAACATAAAAAGAATCATGGACAAAAAGAGTGAATCATAGAAGAAATTGGAAACACATGGCTCCCAGCGGACTATATCATAAGGGAAAATCTATAACCATCAACTTATCATAAAACTTACCACATTTCTTTCATGTAGAAAAAATGCGTTAATAAACAGTCTCTTTCCTTGTATTTAAACTCTCTCTGAAAAAGTAGAAAAATGGAAGATTTTGTTGTAACATTGGTCGTTGCAACATATTTTACAAAAGCAATGGCCATTGGAACTTAGCAAAACTATCTGGAACCAACTTTTAACTACAGAAATGGAAGAACAATGTTTTAACTCGATAAAGTTGCACTCTTTTGAGCTTATCTGATCTGGTTACTATCAAGTAAAAATCTATGACAACCACCAATGTTACCATCAACCTCACCAATTTTCCCTCATCGAGAGATGATTTAATTAACAGGAAAGCGAATGTTAATTACCTCACACTTTCATTCTATAGAAAGAAATTAGGGTGATTTTGGTGATGACTTTTGGTGGTTGAGATTTGGCCTAGTATCAATCAGTAGCACTTCTATAGGTCATATCAGTATTTCCTTAAACACAACGAACTCTTTGCTGGTAAAAGTACGTATGGATGCTGAAGAGATAATAAAAGTAAGCTTACCAGTAATAATGAATCAAACAAAATGTTAACAGAGGAAAAGAAACTGTCACCTCCCATATAATTGCAGAATGATCACTGGATGACGACGCCAAGTATTTCCCATTTTTAGAATACTGCAAGTACCAAACTTCATCGTGGTGGTCTGGCAGAATCTGCAATGATATCAAGCAAAGAAAAATAATCAGTATTCATAAACCAAGAAACCATATTGACACACAATCAATCCTATATATGCATGTTTTAAGAAAATCAACAATAAAAGGCAAGAACTTTGAAAGAAGTCAATGAAACAAACTTAGAATGAGTTTTTATTTAACAAAATACTTTTCTTTTCTCCTGTTTTAACTACTAAACCAAACAAATCACAACTTTTTCCGGAAAGAAGACAAAAAGAATGACGATTTTGGAACTATGCTGTTATATCGGTCATAATACAAAATATCGGTCAGGACCGATATTCGATATATCGGTTATATCGGCGATATATCGGTGATATATCGGTCCAAAATAGCGGTTAACAAAATATTTCTTAGAATTATATATATAATATTCATTAATTAGAGTTTAGAAATATAGTTTCAAAATTAAAACATCACATCATCTAAAATGTTCAAAAACGAGCTAATCGCAAGCAATAGGTTCGGCATCCGAGAAAAGAAGCCAAACCGTGACTCCGTGAGAAGTCTGAAGTTGTGAGAAGTCTGAAGTCGTGATTCGTGAAGTGAACTAGGTGTCTGTGATGTGTGAAGTCGTAACTCGTAAAGATGAAAAGAAAGGAAGAAGACCGTTGGAAGGCAGACTATTAATTTCAGACCTAATAATATATGTTACCAAGCCCAAAAAACTAAGCCCATGAAATAACAAAAGCCCAAATAATTGAACCCTAAAAATCGATATATCGGTCCAATATATACATCAAAATATCGCTAAATATCGGGAAAAATCGGAAAATATCGCCGATAATATCGGGGACGATATTTTGACCGATATTTATGCAGCGATATTTTGCCTAGGTCCGATATCCGATATATCGCCGATATATTGACGATATATCGCGATATTAACAGCATAGCTTTGGAATCAACATCACCAAGTGGTTCTTGGCCCAACTGCCCAACATTACCAAGAAGGCCTCAGAGATGAAATGAGACGTGAGAGGTTTAAGTGTGATAGAGCCTAGATACATGTTTGCTGAAAAGAAGTAATAAAAAGAATACTTTGTTACTCCTTCGAAAGCGATCTCTCTAAACCTATAGCAGTAGCAGATTCTAATTTGTTACTCCCTCACACTTTGTCATCATACCCCATATTAATGGAAGTCATCAAGGTCAGCTACGCAGGTGGCCAACAATTTGAGACCCAACCTACTGTTGCAGGATTAGGCAGATCCAAGAGGCTGTGAAAGCCTGATTATCTATATTATTATGATGATAATTAGTTCATTGCTGATTATTTTAATTACATGTAGGATTATTATTAGGACAAGTGCGAGTGGTTATGTTTTTTACTTTTTATCATTATCTTTAAGATAATTAGTAGCTTTATCATTATTATAAAGTATAAACATTCATCATTATTATGATAAGTAACTATCTTCCCTGTTAGAATAATCTTGGTAAGCTTTATTATATATAGGCAGCAATTCCATTGTTAGGAATATATTCATTCCAGTTTTTTTCCTTAGAACTACCGATCATCTTTTTCTCTTCTACTTCTTGAAATAATCCAGCATGAAGTTCACTTATTCCAAGCCTAAAAATGCAGGTAATATTGGAACATTATATCAGCTGCATGCATGTCTCTGGAACCCAAATCATCCTTTCAAACTAGCAAGAAAAAAAAACATGTATTCTAGAATTCCCAACTTAAACCACTCGGGCATTAACATTAATACTAATGGGCCATTTACCAAATGCTAACCGGGTAAGGTTATACAGGGTTACTTACCTTACTGGGTGAGCACAGCAAGGACCAAGAATCTTACCCGGTAAGAGGCATGGCAAGGACGAAGAATCTTATCCGGTAAGTGAAGGTGGTGACTCTTACCTGGTTAGCGGTTACTGGGCACGAGATGGTTACCAATAATCTTACTATGCCATTTTGATAACTGAGAATCTTACCTGGTGAGGTAAGTGGTGACTCTTAGCCGGTAAGCGGTTACCCGGTTAGTATCAATAAACAGCCCCTAAAAACTGTATTAGTGACTAGAAGTAAATTCATTTGAGCATGCTTCCTTTGGGACATGTGAATTCTTTCTAGACACTATCAGAAACCACTTCCAGAGCCTACAATCCCACTAATTCAACTGCACATTACTGCATTCGCAATGCACCATACCCAACATCATCAGAACTTAAAGGCAATGTGGGCCAAAAGCTAGAGAGAAAAATAATCTTCCTAAGCTCAAAATTGAGCACAACATTTATACACCCAACCTCAAAACATATTTTTTAATCCTTCAAATCATTTTTATGACTCTATATAGAAAATTTACAGACTGCTAGGATGCTTCCTCTATTGCAAGTAGCTTTTATGCATCCTCCAAGATACAGGTAGGTGAGCTTAGAAAGGAATTCCAGGTAGAGACAACTTTAGAGATCGGGGGTTTGCTATTTCTGTTATATTTAGTTTCTGGGTCACTAGGCCTTGTTATTAAACATGATGATTGTTTAACATAGACTTTAGATGCCATCTTGTCCTAGTTTGGATATTGTTATCCCTAAATCCATGAATAACAACACACACACATAGAGAGAGAGAGAGAAGAAGACAGTGCCCAAGAAGACGTGCGTCATTATGGAATGATACATTATTTGTCAAGCTTATATGACTTGGAGAAGCTCACATAAACAAAAATATCAAGTGTTTTCACGTAAAATGAAAAAGAAAGAGATGCCCTGACCTGTACTGTTTCTGAAGGAATGTTATCTCTTCCACAACGATGATCAGTTAATAATGAAGTTTCCCCAACCAAAGAATTGTGAAACAAGCACGTGTCACGTTGCAAGTCAAGCGCTTGTTCTACTAATTGTAACAACCTTTTTTCTGGTATCATTACCGTTGGAGGAAATAACTTTTGTAAATCCTCAAGTAGCTCTGATCGAGGCTTCGGTTTGACCATTTCTTGACCAGATATTCCATCAATGACCCTGTGTGAAGGAGACAAAATGAGGGATGAAAGCTCACGGACTCTGAAGTTGTTTATAGAAAGAGGTGCTATCTCAGTCCTCAGTGTCTTCAAAGCATCCATTACCTTTTCTCCGTCCAGAAGTTCAAAAAATTTCTGCTGTAGTATTATAAAGCATGCCAACTTAATTATAGTTTCATCCACTATGCCAATTTTATGCAAAGAAGCTAAACTTTCGTCCCAACTGCCATCAAGAATTTGTTGGATGAATACAGTAACTACAGATGAATGAAAAGGTATTCCCGACTCCTCTTCGAGATAAGCCCCAGTTTTACTATACCCAAGAGAATACAATGCTTCAGCTATGATTCGAACGAATTCCACTTTCTTAACTCCTTTTGAACTAATCACTTCATCATCCCCTTGCGAGGCTAGGGGCCGAGCCATTGAAGCACTTAATGAGCAACTTGAAGGTTCTTTTAGACACTCACCGTTTGAAAGACCTCTTAGTTCTCTAGAGGATGCTTTCACACGTTTTGAGGGTGGTTCGTCATCCTCTACACCTCCCATGAAATGTGCAATCAGCCCATATATAACCACAATAAGAAGTCAGAGGAGGATGCACGGAAAGATTTTTCAAGTACCTCCAACAAATCACAAATAACTTCCTACATAGAGAAATGAAGAACAACTCAAGTAACATATCTAAATAAGTTTACAAAAAATGGTGGTAAAAAGTTAACAAGGATACAAACAGATATAACTGAAACTATGTTTTCTCTATTTACTTACATATATACACAAAATAGTTGTATAGTTATCGAGATAGAAGCTATGCTCCAACACAACAAGTCTTAGAAAAAACCTCAAGTTGTTCTTCAAAAACAGAATACATGCTTTACCAAAAGACATGCCTACTCAAGCTAGCAGATGTCCAGACCTATGTACGCGCATCACTTGCATGGTAGGAAAAACCCAAAACAAATGACAACTAGATTCATATATCAAGATAAATCAATTGAACATTGAGATACATGGCGCCATGGCGGCCTTTAGACCTTTCCGAGAACATGACCTATGATAGGAGTTCTTGGAATCATAGAACTAGGTCACTAGGGTAGCGGATTTTGGTAGGGACAAGTAGCTAATGTAGATGTGGAGAGGGTCAGGGCCAACATGTAGCAATCCCTTAGAAGAAAGAGATATTGTCCTAGTGGTTGTCAGTTTTGCATTTCACGTGGTTAGTGTTCCCTTGCTTATTTCAACTTATTTCCCTACTGCCTTCATTGTTTATTGTACTTGATGTTTGTTTGTACGCACTCTTTTGTTATTTTTTCATTTGTCTCATGCTCTCTTGTTTCTTTTTAGAATTTGAATTGCAAGCCAAAAGTCTTCACAGAAAAACCCTCTCTACGACTCTATCCCTTTAGGTAAAAAAAAGGTCGCAACATCTCCCTCCCCCGGTCCCAAAAATCCTACCTCCGAGTGGGACAAACTGCATATGTATGGTTTGGTTTATTGAGCCACATCCAAAAACTCAATATAAAATCAAATAACAAGTTTCCACCTTTTCAGTTATTATAGAGTAAATCTATGGGGCAACCAAACTTACCGTCAAACTCACCAGTTTTTCCTTCCTGAAAGAATGACAACGTGATCATAAAGCGAGAGAATGTGCATCCACTCACATATTTTCTATAAAATGAAATCGTAGCAAGTTTTATGGGAGCTATAGGTTTCTCCTTTGTTAAAAGTAATCTCGGTGTATTTGGCATCAAGAACCAAGTGACTAGAGAAATAAGGCAACTGGCTACTCATAACAACTCATAGAAATAGCCCTCTCTAAAAAGGGATGGATGGACAATAAAAGTTGATTCATTGTTTTTAGTGTATACTTGTCACTCCAGTTCTAAAAGAAATACCAATACTCCTTTTATTCAAAAAGGAGAGCTATATTAAATAAGAATCTTAGACATGATACTTCTATATGAAAAATTGATTTGGATTTTGTTGCACACTTAACACCAATTGCAGTACCACAATGTGAAGCTGTAGCTTTTAAGACAGAGATAGTATATCTTAATTGATGTAAAAATGTGTTCATTACAAGCTAAACTTGATGAGGGCCTTTTTTACCAAGTAAACATCTATATTTTGCTATTTCTACTGCTTGCTACAGTTTTCAAGAATTGTTTTACTTATTTGGAAACAACAGTTCTGATTCTTTCTCCTCTTCTAGTTTATAGCTTCTAATGGAGTCTATGATTTTGTATACCGAACAAACAAACAAAAAGGCAAATCAACCACCTGATCCTAGGTGGATGTTGTATTTGAAAGAAGATCAGGTGGCACTCTGGTATATCTTGCATATGTAATAGAAAATAATAGGTTGCATTGTAACCTTCAAGAAATGTAAATGACTACAACTACAAGACACAACAATCTAAACGTGCCCCTTCAATATACAGATTACGGGTGGGGGTGAAAAATAAAGAAATTATAAACATAATGTTAAACCGGATAATTAGCAAGTTGTTATTAGCGGCTCAAACCTCCCCACGAACACTTCCTTGGTTAAACATCGACCTTAAATTTACACATTTTCTTTCAGGCACAGTACACACAAGAATAAGATAACTCTCTTATATGACATAAAGCAGTCACATTATCCAAAAAAAATTATAGAACGTGCTTATATCCAACAAATAGAAAACAGTGTCTGTTCCTACCATCGAGTAATAAGGTCATTTCAAAATCCAGCAGAAATTACCAATCAAAGACTCTGTCATCAAGATCATTTCAAGTAATGCATAAGATGTGTTAGACACAATACCTGTCTGTTGGAACTTCAGGTCTAGTGAATCAGATACTCTCAAGCAAACTCTGTTCTTCTGCTTATCAGACGCGGCAACTTTTTCCTTCTTGGTGCTCTCGGGAATAGATTGATGTAGCTGAACGCATCTCAAAAAAGCTAAAAGGTTGCATTTAGTTGTAAAATGACAAAAATTAAGAAATCTTAAGGTATAAACTATGAAAGATGTTTGCTAAAATACAATTCTTACTCCTTACTGGTTGTCTTGATCTTTGTCAAAATATGTGAACCAATTGAGAAACTAAATGTGAAAATTTATTAAACGTTATCCGAAGAATAGAGTATTTAATAGTAACCAAGGTGATTTCAGCCATTGCTATTCATTTTATATGCATAACCTTGAGAAGGGCTTAAACCTGGCATCTTGACAGAGGAAGGGACTTTGTTATGTAGGGCGGGTAAGGTATTTTTATGCTGACCAAGCAACCGAATAAATGGGTATGATCGACGTTTCTAGTGTGTGCACAGAAATTGAAACTGAAATTGGTACAGTAAAGAATGCTCTTTGGGGTCTCTCTTTCTATCTGTCAGGACAAACAAGTAGGAAGGGATTGTTTGCTAGAAAAAGGATCTCCTTATTACTCTGAGAAGTAATCGTTGGTTTGACCAACCAGCAGTGTGGGAAAATATACCTTCTTTCTTTTCTAGCAACCATTATTCAGTAAAAAAGTTCTGTCGATTTTATATTTAGTCCCATGTTGCTCCACCTGTTTTTGGTGGAACAAAAATTATCAAGTTTTGTCCCATGAAATTTAAAAATAGTCCCATCTTGTCCTATGTATTTTTTGTCTATGGCATGCCAAACATGGGACTACTTTCTTTTGTCCCGTCCCATCCCATGTAATCTGCATACCAAACGCACCTTAACAGGTTTAGGTATTTGATTATTTGTCAAAGACTCTCATTAAACTAAGTGTCAAGTCTAGCATTGCACTTCTTTAAGGAGGAAGTAGTTAATAACTACACGGTACCTGCTGCAAATAAACTTCATACATGAAATAGACTCCATAACAATGAGGAACTGAAATGCATATGCATAAGCCAGCCATCCCAGCGCATCTCTAATAATATTGGAAGAACTGAAGACATTCAAGTTGAAATGAAAAATAAAAAGCCAAAAGGGTATCATTTTGTTGCAAGCAGGACCAAGATCCTACATCTAGCTCAATTAGACAGTAGATTAAACAGTTATATTACTTCCTCGGTCCCCATAGATCAAAACAAATCCATTCTTGGGATGTCACTTCTTATTGCAACTCATCTCTTTCGTGAACTTGCAAGCTAAATGTTGATTGGCCCAATTGTCATCACTAAAGGTTTGCGCCGTTCAATTTGATCACAGAATCTGCAACTTTTTCCCCTATTTCATCTTAATATAAAAAGGTAGTATGTTCTATGCTAATTTCAAAGGAAGTCTCTTGTCAAACTTTCAAATTTATTCCAAGTTTTCAACTCCAAAAGATTCAAGAACAAGAATCTAAAGGTTGATCGATCATGAAACCCTTTAAAACCAACACATGGAAATGTATCACATTTAAATTTAAAAAGCTAGTACATCCAACTTACTGTGATTCAAATTGACTTCTAGAACACTCTAAAAATGAAGTTTCCACAAATGTTCATGACGAAACAATATGCACACCATATCAATCAACCAATTCATGTCGGAACATACCATAAAGAATACACAATAGATCTAGGTTTCGTAATCGCAAGTTGGGTGTATCAGAAAGAAAACTAAAATGGGCAACAAGATGGAAATCAAAAGAGGCGATGATCGATACCTGTCAGTGGGAGAAGAAAACCCTTGTGGTCGCTGTTGTTCTACACCGGCGAATTTAGGATTTCAATCGAAATTCCACATTTGAGTTCGGTTTCATAAAGATTGAAGCTGGGGGTAACTTCTAGGCTCATCGGTATATACAGACATTGATAAACCAATTTGACAAAAGAAATTTACAATTCGGCCATCATATCCAATATATACATACACAATTTGATGAGATACTGATAAAGAACAATGACGTATCTTTTATGTATCTTTCTGTATAAATATTTAGCCGATAAGGGCAAATGGCAGAATTGGTTTCTTTGAGACAGGTATGTATAAAAACATATTGTGAATGTTTGTTTTTGTATTTTTATAGTGTTTTTTTTGTAAAAGTTCGGTATTTTTTATACATAAACAGTATTTGTTGTGAAAGTTCAATGTTAATTAATAATCTCACGAAAATAGGTGAATCTCATAAATCATATAACTCTAGAATCATGTGAAATGTCTTCCCATCTAGTTAAAACAAAAGCATATATCATATTAAGATCACAGTTTATTGTTGCATCAGATGATGTTGGCTCTATGACCTCTCTTTGATGAAAACATTTACGAAGAGTCTGCATTAAATGTTGAAATTTCATTTTAATCATTCTAATGACCAATAATTGTCATCTTCCTCTTCGACGCTTGTATGTCCACTTGCTTGGAACAGATTATTTGTTTAAAATTGTTGTATGTCATTATAAAGGCATCACGAGATGAACACATCAATTAATGACACTGTGTTTTGTGTATCAAATTAACCTAACAATTTTCATGTTGTGTGTGTTCAGTCAAAACCGAAGCATGATCTCTACCCTTTCTATTATTCTTGAAACTTTTTGTATATAATACCAATATATGATAACCACATTTAGAATAAAGTCTTTTTGACCCATGTATAACTTGCAAGTCTAGAAATACAAAAAAAAAACCATCATAAACACATACATAACATCAATTTAAACAACCAGTATTAAAAAATGACATTGTTCATGACCAGAACCATTATAAAATTATAATAGAGTGTTGGTCCTTGTGGTATGTTAAAAGTTTTAACATCCATGTACTCCTTTAATTATGTATATGGTTTTTATGATATCAATTTCTTATCATCATGGTCGTTATTAGGGGTGAGCATAGGCGGGTACCCGTCCTTTTTGACAGGAACCGAAACCGGCGGTTCTTGAGATATTGGAACCGAAACCGGCGGTTCTTGAGATATTGGAACCAAAACCGGAACCGGTTAGAGCGGTTCTTAAATTTTTGGAACCGGAACCGCCGGGAACCGGTTTCGGTTCCTGGTACCCGCTTCCTAAAATATTAAAATTTTGTTATTTAGAAATAAAAAATAAAATATTGCCAAAACACTAAATAAATAAGCAAGAATACAAATTATACAGAATAATGGTTACAAATATTGATTAACGATTACAAACCATAATAGACTAATAGAAAATGTTCAAAGTTTAACGATTACATATTATAATAGTAATTGTTCAAAGTTTAACGATTACATACTATGAATCCAAGTGAACACACAATTTGAAAAAATACGAATCATTGTATATGAAGAATTTAGATGAAGATTGAAGATGACGACGTGCTTTTAAGATGTAAACCTAATATAAATTTGGTATTAAAAAATAATTATTATTTTTTTATTGAAAAATATCGGGTACCCGGCGGGTAACGGTTCCGAAAAATTGAGAACCGGAACCATTCTCAATCGGTTCCGTATTTTAGGAACCGAAACCGGAACCACTCATATCGGTTCCGTTTCTGGAACCGGCGGCTCCGGTTCTATAGCCGGGTACCCGGTTCCGCTGCTCACCCCTAGTCGTTATAGCTGACAAAGTTAATGAAAATTCATTAACTTATGGGTTGATTAAGTGTTTAGAACATCTTATCAGGTAAGTAGTGTTGACCGGGTTAAGAGATAATATTGTTTAACCGAGATGTTGACCCGGTAAGAGGGAGGGTTACTTACTTGGTCAGAGCATCGTATCTGATCATTCTTTTGCCCAAATTTTTTTTTTACTAAACAGCCCCTTAGGGGGCGTTTTTTACACTTATAATTTGTGTCTTATTCATACTAAAAAATATAAAAAAAAATATTATATACCATGTCTTTGTTATATTATATGGGGTTGGGTTCTGATGAGAAATAAAGTTTTAGTGAGAAGCGTAAAAATAGATGTCCACCATTTGATCAATCTTAATTAAATGTCAACACTTATGAGGTGTACTGAGATGCATCGGATTAATTTCCTTCTAAAGCGCAATTCATGGGTGGACATTAAATTAAAATTGATCAAGAGTTTAGATATCTTCTTATTCTTTTCAGCAGGTTTGTTCCTGATATTTTATAGGACTTGTGCGATATGTAAAAAAGGTCCCTTGATAAGTACGAAAATAATATCTAATACTATCATTTTTATCATTAGAAATAACATTAAATTCAATAAATAATAATAATTCATATAAAACCGTTTTAATAGAGTACTCCCAAAAGCAAAATTAATTACAAATTGTTTTTATAATAGTATCTACCATATTATTTTTACATAACATCGTCAATACATCCCATCATGAAAAACTACAAAACATAATCTAAATAATCTAAGAAACACACGGTTTGCATAAAAGGATATAAGAACAAGAGACAAGGGAATTCACTTCAGATCACAAAGTGTTATGCCTCTGTCCTCAACTACTTATTCGACATCACTAAAGGTTTTTTTGGTGTGAGTTTTGTCTTTGAGGAATACTTGTTCTTTGAGAACTTCACAATATATGTTAAGCGATCATTGAACAGGCTTAGAGATAATCGCTGAAACCGAACAAAAGTAGAACAAGGATATCTAACTAAGTATGTAGGGTCATCATCAAATCACTCAGAGAGTTTGAATCAACAAAAACATATAACATATACCTTTAATATATAGATTTACATTATTTGAGGTCACAATGTTGATTGTTTGGAGTAACACTCTATATCAATCAATATAAATCAGTTGGCTTTCCATCTCACTTTTAGGTTAATGTTTCTATTGTTACCGTTTTAGAATTTTTAAGGCTAAATACATTTTTTTGAAACCATCAATCTTGGAATAAAAAACCCATGTTGGTTATAACTTGAGATTATATTTTTGTTTTAGAGGTAGGAAAATGCTTAAGACTCATACACTCAATATTAGGTAATAAGAAGCCAATAATATATGAAAAGCCAATGGTAGTTTGAAACCTTAAATATAGATATAAGTTGGACCGTCTCATGTGATTGGTAATTTTTTTTTTCCAAATGTAGGAATTTTCTTAATTGATAACAAAAAATCTAGTATATTCTAATGTAAAAATAGAATTCATACGAATGGAATAATAATAAAAAATCAGTGGGGATGAACGATGGATAACATATTAAAGTTTTATAAACAGTTAGTTTTAGACTTTTGTATTAGATTAAAAAACTTGCAGAAGCACCAAGACGACCAATTAACTTTTTCATGAATTTCTTTTCCGTTTTAATAATTAATATATGTTTGAGTCTTATATCATACAAAATTCTTTTTGGATCCTATTAGGTACTAAAAAATTTGTATCTCTTTTATTTTCAATTTTTTTACTACTATTATGTACTATAAAATCCTGGGACCCTATTTATGGCAGGACAGGAATAACTCTACTTCTCACCATAACTTCTCTTCTCAGATGACCATTCGTCATATTATATTATTATATACAAACAAATATATGTATATATACACACACACATACAAGATGAGGTGAAGAATCATGCGAGAATGTGAGTTAACATGAGAAGCGTAAGAAGGGATCTGGTCCATTGATCACTTTTGATCTCTTGCCCACCCATGAAGTGCGTTTTCTTACGGAATTGATCTGGTGCATCTTATCTCGATGCATTTCATCCTAATCTGAAGATCCCTAATTATACCTTTCATTGGAACCCAATCTTACAAAACGAAACATATTCGCTCTATCTAGAATTAATTGATAACCATTATAAATTTTTTTTTAACTATATGTCTGTAGGAAAAGATGAAAACCCATATATGGAATTATTAAAGTGAGTATATGACTATTTAAAAGGTTGTTTGAAATCTTGTTCCTCTTTTCTGAATATTAGATAAAAAGAGCAACCATTAAAACAATTATAACTAATCTCATGCATTTTTAAATATTTAATTAAAGCATCTCACATGCAAAATATATATATATATATATATATATATATATTCATACGAGAATACCCCTGTTTTACGAGAATGCAAAAACATTTATGAGCTTCCAAATTATTTAACCCATAATAAAAATAAAAATAAAATAAACTAATTAATCAAGGAGAATCATGTGATTTCATATTTATCTATAATTCTGGTGACATCCTTATCTCTAAAATCACATACATATAATATGTTAACCGGTACCAAATAATTATCACAACAAAATCACATAATAAAGAGACAGACCGATGAATATAGACGTGATCATCGTTAGTTTTCAATTGTCACACTGGCATCACAACAAAAACCATATAATTATTAGATGATTAGCACATCATAAAAATCTTCAACTTATCAAATCATTATCACGATGAAATGAAATAATTATCACAATATTATCGACAACAGACACATTCACATAAAAAGACAAAAAAAATTCAAATAAGATATTTAAGGAAAATATATGAACCAAGATGAATAAGATCTTTTTCCGTACTATCATTTAACGGATTACGTAGATGATTTTTGGACCGTTGGGCCATGGATTTCTATATAACAATAATCGAGACCTTCAAAAAGGCGGGAAGTGGCGGAAAGCGATGAAGGTGGTAATCGACTCATCTCTGTCCTTTTCCCAAAAGGCCACCCAGAGGTATCTTAATCCCCTAAGCTAGCTCTTGTTCTTGGGGACTCATCTTTTTCCCCCTTTGATATCGATCAGTTTTCTATTCCACAAAAGGCCAGCCAAAAAGCAAAAGCAAAAGCACAAACACAACCAGCAATCAATCTTTCATAAAGCGGAAACGCACATTCAAAAGATCCCCCATATATACCGACTTCATACATGGATTCAAAACTGATTCTCGATTATACTTTCTTCAGAACATATGTTTTTCATCTTAAGAACATCGGTGTACAACAGATTCAGGTGGGAATTATTAGTGCTGTTTTGGGAGGTGGTTAGAGATGGCGAGCACGAGTGGGATAAAAGATGTAGGTCCACCGAGGTCGCTTTCAAGGAGGATGACGAGGGGTTCCTCCATGATTGAACCATATGCGGAGGACAACGCCGCCGTTGACAGTGAGCTTGTGCCGTCTTCCCTTGCTTCTGTTGCTCCCATCCTTCGTGTTGCCAACGAGGTCGAGAAGGATAACCCCAGAGTTGCTTACTTGTGTATGTTTCAAACCTATAAACCATATTCGCCTTTTTCTTTCACATGTGTTGTGACTACTGATGCTGAAATTGACAAAAAGTAAGAAAAAAACTAGGAATTGTTTAAGAATAGTTTTTGGTGGATGTTTGAATTCAGCATGGAAGATGAAGATTTATCACTTCTTCACTTGTGGCAGAAATACTCTAAGTGTGATATCAGATGTTTCAAATTGTAACCCCAAATGGTTGGCTTAGTGGCAGGTTATGTCTGACTTGTAGGGGCTGTTTACCAAGTGTTTAGAACATCTTACCGGGTAAATAGTGCTGACCGAGTTAAGAGATAATGTTGTTTAACCGAGATGCTGACCCGGTAAGAGGGAGGGTACCTTACCTGGCCAGAGCATCGTACCTGATCAGTCCTTACCCAATTTTTTTTATAAACAGCCCCTTACTAAACTTATTCATGTTCATGGCCGGTAGGCTGTGGGTCTCACTAGAAATGAAATGGGATGCACTCGAGACCCACAAGGGATTTGGAGGGAACCATCAGGGTTGTTGATTGCAATTTTAAGTGGTCATAGTTGTGAATTGAAATTCAACTCTCAATCTGCTCGAGATTCTATAGATTTCTTATAATCCTATCTCAAAATGTGTAGGGTCATTAGTTTTCCTATGATTGGGAACCTGGATAAAAAATCCAGGTGACTTCTGAGCATCAAAAAGGTTGGTAACTTCAAAATTTATGACAATCTATTTAGTTATAAAGAGAAATATGATAACTACATAACTAGTAACATCTACAAAGAGGAATACAGAGCATTTACAATAGAAACATGGTAACTTGATTCCTGAACGAGTAGTCCACAGTGTCACCAAACTTTGTACAGAACTCAAATTTATGGTCGTATGTTAGTTCTTTTAAGAAGGTAAGGAAAATGATATTCTGGCCGTCCCAGGAGGTGCAACATGTTTGATTTTGCTCATAGTGCAATAAAAATGTCTGATTGTTGATCAAGTGTCTAAATTTGCTTCTTAATAAGGACAATAAATAACACCAAGGGGCAAAGAAGTAAAGTAGGTTTTAGAAGTTACCCAAACAGGAAATGTTGCATTTTTAGGGACAACCCAAAATGGAAAGCGTAGTGCACAACTCAAGGAACCCAGGAACCCGTCTCAAAAGATTTTCTCATCACCTCGTATACTTTGTTGGACTAGGCCGGTTTCATGCATTCGAGAATGTACACAGGATGGACCGTAAATCTACTGGACGTGGTGTTCGTCAGTTCAAGACCTACCTGCTGCATAGACTTAAGAAGGTATACAAGATAAGTTCTCACTCTGTTTTGTGTTGCAGCTGAATCCTATTAACTTTTCTTCTGTTAAATAACTTTGGGTTGATAACCAAGTTTTATGTTAAAATGCGATTATTAGTTTGGCTTATTAAATTGTTCATTACAAAAGGATGATGGCAATTAACGTTCCAGAGATGGTCCATTATATACTGCAATCATCATCAATACTATGTGCTAACCAACAACAATGCTGCTGCCTTTTCTTTATAACTGTTCTATGTAGAGGTGTTTGCTTTTCAGAAACTCACGGAAAATGTGGATGTTCTTTTTCTCACAGGAAGAGGAAGAGATAAAGCCTCGATTAGCAAAGAATGATCCTACGGAAATCCAGAAATACTACCAAAACTTTTATGAGAAAAACATCAGTGAGGGTCAATATACAAAGAAACCGTGAGTCTTTCTTTTAGTTAATAACCTTTCGGAATCTTCTGTCAATGTTTTCTTAGTTCATTACTTATTTGTTCTGTTATTCTACCTTCTATCATCTTCAAAGTGAGGAGATGGCTAAGATTTATCAGATTGCAACGGTGTTGTATGCTGTATTGAAGACGGTGGTACCTCCTTCAAAAGTTGAATATGAGGTAAAGCTGGTCTATCATGCACATGTTTTGTATTTAAGTTACTGATTGTGGAAGTTACTGAAATATTCATGTCCCTGTTTCTGTGGCATGCAGACTGAAGAATATGCTAAAGATGTAGAGGAGAAAAAGGAACAATATGAACACTATAACATTCTTCCTTTATATGCTGTTGGGGTTAAACCAGCAATTATGGAGCTTCCTGAGGTTGGGTTTAGATGGATATAAGCCTTTGTTTCCTCCCTTCCATTCTCATTCTCCTTTTTTCCTGCTTAAATGCATGTACATACAGCTTTGTCTCTCTCCCTGGTCCTGTTTATTTATTTCTTTGTTTCGATTCTTAGATCAAAGCAGCTCTTCGAGCTCTCCGTAATGTGGATAATCCTCCACTTAGAAAGCCAGGGGACAGAGACAAATCTGCTAATGATATACTCGAGTGGCTTTCTTCAGCTTTTGGATTTCAGGTACATTGTGGTCCTATTGTGCTTCATTTGATTCATGTTTTTTTATTATTAGAACTTTCTTCTGTTTCTCTCTTTGCATCTTACTCCTCATACAACAAAAATGCACAAAGAAATGCAGCCCAAGTCTTAAATTCTTGGTGATATGACCACTTATAGGCCGTGATATGAAAACTTATGTCCTATTAAGTATACTTGTTATGATTGAAGTTGTGTTTTAAAAATGTTTTTCATTATTCAAATTCTTCCGGGCATTCCTCGAAAGGAGATATGTGCTTTGAATTTGACCAATTGAGATATAGGGAAACAATATTTTTGATTATTTATTCATTCAAAATTTTCACCTATTTCTGTATTTTTTTGAGATTCAAGGCCTAGAGTATGACCTCAAATGTTTACTTGATTAATATGCCCTGATGCTCTTTGTTTTCACAATTTGTTATACTTTTCTGTTTGATGCATCATGCACATATGCTTAGAGTGTTTGGAAGCTTTTATAAGTCTATTTTATGTTCTACCTCGAATGTTATATTCTTTAAAGAATTTTGTTCCTATCATTTTAACATGTTGACGTTGTTTACAAATCTAACTATACTTTTCTTCATCCCATCTCTGCATTAAAGAAAGGAAATGTTGCAAATCAGCGGGAACATTTAATCTTGCTACTTGCAAACATTGATACACGGTCAAAGAGTCTTGAAGATTATGAGGAGGTAAAGATTCCACCAACACATTAACATATTGGAATATGTTACCTGGTTATGTTTTCATTTATCTCAAATTCGTTAATTTTGCACATAATGATTTTAGTTTTGTATCAAACTTGTTACAATGTGTCTATTCTGACTTGAATACGGGCAGCTGGATGGCCACACAATACATCTATTAATGGATAAAACATTCAAGAACTATTGCTCTTGGTGTGATTATTTGCACTGCAAGTCAAACCTCAAGTAAGTTATTATCAATATTGTGTAGCACTTTTATTGTTGCTTGAAATTAAAGGTTTTTTACATTTTCTAGTTCACTTTATTGTTTTTCTTTGATTGCATAGGTTTGAACCTGGTGCAGATAGGCAACAGCTAGAGCTTCTCTACATTGGACTCTATCTGCTTATCTGGGGTGAAGCTTCGAATATCCGCTTCATGCCTGAATGTATTTGCTATATTTTTCATAATGTATGTTTACTTTTCTATCTCTATGTGTCTTTTTATTGGCGGTGATTCACAACAATACTCTTTCTAATTTAGTCAATTTTTTTGCATTTAACTTCAACACCATATTTCTATTTGTTTTGTTCTAAGATATCAATTACACAGTTGCATTCACAACATGTAACATATAAGGATTACACATGTTGCTATCGTTCATTTCATTCTAGGTTATTCGTTGTCATGTTCATTTGCTTCTCAACTATTAGCTGAATCTTAGCTCCTTTTGTGCTCGAGCAAAGCCGTACTCTATTTGTAAAGGTTAAACGTTCCGTCACCACTTTGTGGAAAAGCCTTAGGTATGAATATTACGATGACATTACTCTACCACTGAGTTAAAAGGGCTTGGTTGGATGAATTCCATGCTTTGCAAAGTGGTGCATTGCATGGGCTATGGAAGTCGCTCGAACTCAACCTTATTTGACAATTCATATTAGGAAATTTATTATCATGTGCATGTTGCATAGATATATGACAATTATGCCATTTCACTATATTTTTTATATTTCTAGGTCTTTGTTTGCCTATTGGCCCATTTACATATCATTTCTTCACATCTTGGTTAATGGAATACACACTTTACGATTCCCACCTCTTAGATGATATAATATGCTAAATACACACCCCTACTTCTTAATAAGGATTACTTGATGTATATGAGGGTATCTTATCTGCAATGAGCTGATTTTTGAGAGCTAGCAAGTTGTTATTATCTCTAGAAACATTATTCTTTCAGTTCTGTGATAATGCTATGCTGATTGTGAGATCTAAAATGATATTTACCACATGTTTTTATTGAATGATTAAGATGGCGAATGAAATGCATGGGATTTTGTTTGGCAATGTCCAACCTGTAAGTGGGGGTGCATATCAAGCAGAAGCACTTGGAGAAGAATCGTTTTTACAGGACGTCGTGTCGCCTATTTATGAGGTTATGCGCAAGGTAGTAACTTCTAACTCCACTATTGATCTTGTTTGATTGTCATGCAAATTTGATGAATTATTGAAAACATCTTCTTGTTATATGGTGACAGGAAGCTAGGAGAAATCGAGGTGGCAAAGCAAGCCATTCTTCCTGGAGAAACTATGATGATCTTAACGAATACTTTTGGTAAATGCACCTGATTATGGAATTTCTTACATGCCATAATATGTTATTTGTTTCTAATAGAAACTTCAACTCTTCCCTTTCAGGTCTGACAAATGCTTTAAATTAGGATGGCCAATGGACCTCAAATCTGACTTTTTCGTTGACTCTGACGATACATTGCAGGCAAATGGAGTATCTATTCAACTTGACACTTTGCAGTTTCTAAATAATTCTGTATACCATACCTGTATTTCACTGGAGATGCTAATTTCAAAGTCACCGTCTAAGGCAGTTGATTGTTAATTGAGAACTTAAATACATTCTTCGCAGAGTAGAAACTTTGAACATGTCTTCTCTGTTGCATCTTTAACACAATTTAATATTTTTTCATGTTTAGGTTTTGATATCCAAATTTGAAGGCGTGCAATCAGTAAGAGAAAAAATTTACGTAAAATGAGGAGTCTAAAACCTCACTTATGCATCATCAAACTCAAAAAACCATTTTTAATCTAATAATTTTCTGGAAGATCGATAATTCTTATTATCTGAATGCACTAGATGTTACTTGAAACCTAGTTAGTAACAGAGTTTTTCAATAAATGTTACTGTTGTCATTTAAAGTTTAAAATAATCCTTCCCAGCAAGGAACTATCTAAAGTGCAGTCAATTTTGACTTCTATAAAGCCTTTTACGCTCAATATTAGTTTATTTCGTCTGCAAATTAATTAGGTGATTCACTTATTCTCTTTAACATTTGAATCTGACAGTATAGAGAAGTTCTATACATGCAATAGTTTGAATTCAAGTTTAAATGTTGGTCAATACAATCATGATCAGTTCCAATAAACTGTTTAGAGCTCCAAAAGATACTGGCTGTTCGATTACCATCAAGTAGTTTCACATAGCATACGTGAAAAACTTCTATTGGAGTTAGAACTGTGGTGGTTTATAAGCGCCTTTTGTTTCACTTGATTTCATGTTGTTAGTTGTCACTAAGATGTCAACATGTAATTGCAGGAGCACAACCAAGTCATATCTGGAAAGAAGAAACCTAAAACAAATTTTGTTGAAGTGCGGACATTTTTGCACCTGTACAGGAGTTTTGATCGAATGTGGATGTTTCTTATATTAGTTTTTCAGGTATATAATATCATCATATAGCTTGCTATTGATGTCTTCATTTTGGGATTAGTTTCATTCATTTTCTTTCTTTTTTCAGGCTATGGTAATCGTAGCAAGTCATGGAGATGGATCAATTTTTGGAATTTTTGATGAGGGTGTCATTGCGAGTATTCTGAGCATTTTCATTACTTCTGCTGTCCTCAACTTTTTCCAAGGTATTTTTTCTGCCCTTCTATGCTCTTTCCGTTTTCCATTTGTTCTTATACATTTCAAGTCCATGTATGGGTAATGTTGTATTATGTATGTAGACTTGGGATTGTGTGAGAATAACAATTATAGTGAGAATGGTGAGAACACTTCTGAGCCTTTTGATGAGTTGACTATTTGATCTAACTTCATCTACCTTTAACTGCATTCATCTACCTTCGACTATCTTCAACTACCTTCATCTAGCTTTATCTTCATTTTCAGTCACTTTCACGAACTTTTACATACATTTAATCAGTTTCACATGCATGAATTTGTTAAAGTTTTGGCCATTATGACAAAAATAGGCAAATAGAGGTAGTTGAAGGTAGATAAGCGTATATGAAGGTTTTGTTCTCACTGTAACTCTTATTCTCACCGGAACCCAACCTTATGTATCTAATTTTCACTTTATTGTTTGTCTAAGAACATTTCCTGAATTTTGTATCCCTAAGAAATGTTAAGAATTTCAGGAAGCAATTTTTTGACTTTAAGTTGACATAGCTAACTTATTTGTATTTTAAAAGGTTCGTCTGGCTTATTGGACTTCTTTTGAACTCTGTAGTCCCTATTATTTACAGTTTTTCCTGGTAAAGGTCTTCCCCTTTTCAGTTACACATTGACTCTTAATCTCTACTACACTGACACTTCTTTATTGCTATATCGAAATGTCTTCTGCATATCTGCAGCTCTTCCTGTTAAAGATTTCTCTACACAGGAAAAACATATATGGCCACAATTTTGTTCTTTAGAAATGACCATGCAAATTAATTTGAATTGCCAAAGCATGGTTTTTGGTCTTCAGAACTATGTCTCTTTTGTGCCTAAGATTTTTTTTTCTCCCTAATTCTGTTCTGCAGCTGCTTTAGATTTAATCCTTAGCTTTAATGCTTGGAGGAGCTTGAAATCTACTCAAATACTTCGCTACCTCCTTAAAGTCACCGTTGCTGCCTTTTGGGTAGTGATCCTACCCATTGGCTATTCAAGCTCTGTTCTGAATCCAACAGGACTTGTGAGGGTTTTCAGCACTCTGGGAGGAACTTGGAGGAAACAATCACTTTATAACTATCTTGTTGCAATTTATTTGACACCCAACATATTGTCTGCTTTGCTATTTCTGCTCCCACCCATGCGGAGATCCATGGAACGTTCAAACTGGCGTATGATTGTTCTTCTAATGTGGTGGGCCCAGGTTAGCTAATTTTCTTGTAAAGTGCTCTTTTATGTATGTGTGTGTATATATATATATAAATATTATATAATGCTTAATGAGCCAAGATATAAAATAGAAATAACTAAAACACAGTTTCTAGGAATCCCTATTTAGGGCCGCTAAGGCTGCTGCCTAGCTGTTAACTGTCCTCTGCTTCAATTATTTGGGACTGCTTAAATGCTTCCTAGGAGTTTAGTGCCCCCACTGCTATGATTAACAACAAATCATTGAATTAAATGTTTCAAAAAATTAAACAGTGATTAATTGACTTCTCTCAACCTGTCCATCAATGAACAGTTCCCAACCTGTGCATCTTATAAAATTTTCTCAATTAAACTGTGAGGAATTGAGGGTTAGGTTATTTGGGTCTGAGCTGCAATACCATGCAAAATAAAGGGCTAGAGAACGATATTGTATAATTGAGAGAAAACCAGCATATGTCGAGAATATTTGTAGGCTGACAAATCCAAGAGATAAACAAGTATTGCTAAAAAAGTCCTATGTCTTAACAGTTTTGACATTAGATTCATCCTATTGACTTCAAAGTTGTTAACTTTTCTCAGCCGAAGCTCTATGTTGGAAGAGGCATGCACGAGGACATGTTTTCCCTTTTGAAGTAAGGATGCACAGTTAATTGATGGTTGAATATGCTTTTTATCCATTCTCCTTTTAACCATTTTTAACACTTGATCTTTAGGTATACACTATTTTGGATGCTGCTGCTAATAAGCAAGTTCGCATTTAGCTACTATGTTGAGGTTGTTTTGTTTCCTATCTTGCAGTCATGGAAAATTTTAATTCTATTGCATATAATAGCCACATAATGTGGTTAGTAGTTTTGTGGTATTGTCATTATGTACACATATATTCACACCAATTATTAAAAAGTCTATCAAGTTCTTTTAACTACCATACGACAAAAATGCCAGATTTTATTTTCACCTCACGTATTTTAAGAAGCCACAACTTCTACATCAGGTTGGTATCTCATTATTGTTCTCACAAAATCCATGTGTCGATTTTGCAGTTACCTTTTCAGGAATTGCATTGATTAAATATCATCCTTTCTTACTTGCAAGAAGTGATGTATATTATGATAAGCATGCAAGTTAAAAAAAAGATGAAAAGAAAAAATAGAAGAACGAAAAAGAGGAAGAAAGATGTACTGTTATGCATGTTCTTCACTCTAGTTTCCTGTCTTATCTGTTACCTTTGCACACTCTTTTATTTTATGCCTCTTACTGTCACTTCATCTTTGAACTTTCCTTGCTTTCTGTTTTTCCGGGGTAACCCTCTTCGGTTCCTTCCAAAACTTGATGTTTATGAGGAGATTTTGGGCATTGCGATACGCTGAAAGATTAAATTATAATTATTCAAATATATGATGTATATTATTGATGTTTATGAGGAGATTTTTGGGCATTGCTATATGCTGAAAAATAAATTTTTTTCTTGCAATATAAGCTATATGATGTTATATCTATAAGTAGTTTTTATGCTCATTCTTCACATTTTCATGATAGATATTGCCGCTGGTTGCACCCACAAAAGTAATCATGGAATTGTCAGTTAGCAAATATGACTGGCATGAGTTCTTTCCGAATGGTAAAATTTATTATTGAAAGCTTCCTTCTTGAGATTATCTTTAAAATTACAATCTGACTTCTTTTGAGTAATTTGTAGTGACTCATAATATCGGTGTTGTAATTGCTATTTGGGCTCCAATTGTCATGGTAAGCATCCTTATTTTTTTTTTGCTTTTATGTAACTGACTGAAAATCTAGAGATGTTCTTGCTCTTTTAGGTCTATTTTATGGATGCACAAATTTGGTATGCAATATTTGCTACCATTATTGGTGGAATCTATGGAGCCTTCAGCCACCTGGGTGAGGTTAGGACATATATTCCTTTAAATTGTTTACTCCTAAGGAAAATGAACATGTTACAGTGGTGTATAAGACTGGTAAAACGTTGATTTTTGCCAGTTAGTAATGATCATAGGGCACTCTGTTAGTAAGCAGTTTTGCTGCTAGTCTTGTTGTAACACTATTCTTCTCATGACTTTATATCATTCTCTGTCATTTATTTTTTAGATTCGAACACTTGGGATGCTGCGCTCCCGATTTGATTCAGTTCCTTCAGCTTTCTATGAACGCCTTGTACCAATGCAGAAAGAAGAACCCAAAATAGATCCCCTGGTAAGGCCAGTATATGTTTCTTTTTAGTCTTTTGCATCTACCCTTCTATTAACCTAATTGTCATGGAACCATTATAGTACCGTTTGATTTGTAATTGGAGAACTTTGTTTCCATTATACCTGTTTTAATTTAATTTAACTTAACTTTTTAATAAAAAATCTCCTGTAGGAGGATGATTCATTGGTGAGAAAGAACATAGCAAAATTTTCACAAGTGTGGAATGAGTTCATATTTTCAATGCGGATGGAGGACTTGATCAGCAACAGGTTGAAGCTGCCTTCTATTTCAAATACAAACTTTGGTTGGTTATTAATCAATACGAGTAATACCGAAGATTTTATTGACACCTTTTAATTTTGTTAGTGAGAGAGATCTACTCCTTGTACCATATAAGACAAGTGTTGTCCCAGTTATCCAATGGCCGCCTTTCCTGCTTGCTAGTAAGGTTGAACTTCTATACCTTATATATAGGTTTAGTCAGAGTTATATGATTTTATATTAATATTTTAAGTTAATGTGAATCATGTATTGACCACTTCTTGTTAATTTAAGATCCCAATTGCATTAGACATGGCCAAAGATTTCAAAGGGAAGGAAGACGCAGACCTCTTTAGGAAGATCAATAATGATGACTATATGCACTCAGCAGTTATTGAGTGCTACCAAACACTGAAGGAAATGTTATATGATCTTCTCGATGATGAAGGGGATAAGATGTAAGACCTATATTTATGTGGCATTATTTCCTTTCAATTCCCTAGGCAGTCTTGATGCTAAAGCAGATATCGTTATGCTAGGCAGTCTTGATGCTAAATCAGATATCTTTCTGTATTCACTTCTCATTATTCAACTTATCATGACGATTTGTTTTTTTCTCTTTATATAGGATCATTAAGCATATATGCCATGAAATAGATACTAGCATCCAAATGCGAACATTTTTAAGTAAATTTCGTATGAGCGGATTGCCTTCACTCAACGATAAGTTGGAGAAATTCTTAAGCGATCTGGTAAACTATGTTTTTATATAATTAGGGGGGCTCGCACTTTTTTCATTTGAGTGCTTTAGGTTTCAGTTAACTTTTCATTCTTTCTGCAATTTAAGACTATTTTTGAGTACTCTAGTGGGTGTCTTCCAGCTAGCAGATTATGATAATGCTGAGAACTACACTTCCGAACTTATTAAGGACCTTCAAGATCTTATGGAGATTATCATAAAGGATGTTATGATTAACGGACAGGAGTAAGTTCTGTTTTGTCAGCGATTTTCCATGATGTGAACTCTGAAGTGAGCTTTACACATAATGAAATATCACGGTTTTTTTTTTTTTTGTAGAATACTTGACAGAGCTCATTCTCGTCGTCAGGACAATGACAAAAAGGAGAGATTTGAACGGATCAATATCCGGCTAACTCAAATTAGATCTTGGAAGGAGAAGGTATCATCTAGAACTTCTTTTCTCAACTCAATGCCCTGTTTCTTAATTTGTCTACTTTCTTGAAGGTATCAGCTGTTAATGCATTCATATATGTCTAGTTTTGCATCTCCCATGTGAAATCCGTGAAATCCGCGAAAGAAAGACCAATAAATGGCACATCAGCAATAACAAAGAACACATAAGTTCATATATGTCTTTTTGCATCATCCATGTAAAATCTGCAAAATAATGCACAAGTAAATGGCACATCAGTAAAGCTGTGCTCCATGGACTCTAAAAGGTGCTACTTGAAGGAATAGAGGGTGTATAGGGTACTTTGTGCCTTCTATCGACCCTTTTAGTTTAATGTTCTTTTGCTCATTCTTTTATTTGTTCTTATAGGTAGTGAGGCTCCATTTGCTTCTGACTGTCAAAGAATCTGCAATTAATGTGCCTATGAATTTGGAGGCTCGCCGGCGTATCACTTTTTTTACAAATTCTTTGTATATGAGAATGCCAAATGCTCCAAAAGTTCACAATATGCTATCATTTAGGTTGGTATTTCAACCCTTTATAGTTCGCTTCTTGATGCCTTTTGGTACTACCGTTTAAATTAGATGTTCTTATGAAATATCTCGAAATTACCATCATGGTCTCCACAGACGTAGATTTAAGATACTGGTTGCATGTTCTATATTTTAAAATATCTCAACATATTTGTCTAAAAGGTCCATTCATTTTACTGATCCTGATCAAATCTAGTGTTTATATCATCTAATTAGTCTAGCAGTGAGATCAGGGCAAACTGAGATCTTCTTGATGTCTAGTCTATGCTTTTGAGTTTATTTTCCTATGCTGATTAACATTGACGGTCTGCTTCTTCTCCTATTGTTGTCATGGATATGTAATCGATTTGCATTTAGCACATCTAGATACTTTTTGGTATAAAAATCTGGATATTTTTATGAGAACTCGCATGGTTTCACTGTTTAAAAACAGTGTATTGACTCCTTATTACAAAGAAGACGTTCTGTATTCTGAAGAAGAGCTTCATCTGGAAAATGAGGATGGAATTTCAATCTTGTTTTATCTTCAGAAAATATATCCAGGTGACTCTCAGACCTCATTTTACTGAAATCTTCTTTATTTATGATGATCTAGTACTCTTAATTGTTGATTTTACATGCAAAACCAGATGAATGGAGAAATTTTGAAGAGAGGATCAGAGATCCAAAGCTAAAGGCTAATGAAAAAGACAGGACGGAGGCAACACGTCAATGGGTTTCTTACAGGGGACAGACACTTTCAAGAACAGGTTCGGTCATTTTCATTATGCTTCACCCTGTAATTTACCAATCTTAAAACTTCATTCAGAAAATGTTTGTCTTCAGTGAGAGGGATGATGTATTACAAAGAAGCTCTTGAACTTCAATGCTTCCTAGACTTTGCGGAGGACAATGGTTAGTTAAATTGTTGCATTGTGGATAGTTGGACTCATTTTTCACTTATCTATTTCACAGTCTTCTTATTTAGTTAGTTATTTGTAAGTTACGAGACATAAATTCATACATTGATAAATTCTATTATCTATAACAAAATACTTTTTGCTTTTTTAAAGTTAAGATACTTATAATCAACTTGGCAAAGATACCATTGAGCTGCTCTTGGGAGCAAAATCCTAAGGGGCGATATGGTTCGAATAAATTCACCAAAGTGTAGGCTGTGATACCATGTAATGTTCATAACTAAAAGAGAGAATCCTGTGTAAACCAAGCATCAAAAGGGGCGCTAGTTGGTTAGAATAAATAGTAAAAGACATAGAAGAACCCTATATAACGATACATACTGCACAGATAAGTAGGAACCTAATGCAACCAACCACCGCTAACTACTCTTATTTCGTCTACAGAGATTTTTACCGGCTACCGGACGGTTGATATGAATAAAGACCACAGGGTTCTCAAAGAACGTGCAGAAGCATTGGCAGATCTGAAGTTCACCTATGTTGTTTCTTGCCAGATTTATGGTGCTCAGAAGAAATCCAGTGACAATAGAGATCAAAGTTGTTATGCTAACATACTAAATCTGATGCTTACGTAAGTACTTTTACTTTCTTCTTGTTGTTATTGTTGCTGCTGTATCGTCTAATCAAAATTTCCTTTTCTGAAATATATAATATTTATATAAGACAAATGCAACTGATAAGCTCTTTCACCCTCCACACCTTTGGTGAGGTTTGAACCTGTAACCTCCTGAGAGGCCAAAGGCCCTTTTGGTTTCTAATTAAATTTGTGATTGTCTCAGATATCCATCTTTACGTGTCGCTTATATAGACGAGATAGATGATGAAAAAGGCCAGAAGGTTTACTACTCTGTTTTGGTCAAGGGTGGGGATAAACTAGATGAGGTAGTACAATCATGATGCAGACAATTGCATAAACAATAATCTTTTGACGAAATAGGATTTCCACACTGGTGGTAGCTTAATAACTATCATTTCCCATTGATATTTTAGGAAATATATCGAATCAAGCTTCCTGGTCCGCCTACAGAAATTGGTGAAGGGAAACCTGAAAACCAAAACCATGCAATTATTTTCACTCGTGGGGAGGCCCTGCAGACAATTGACATGAATCAGGTAATTGAAAAGATTTCCTTTGGTTTCTTTTTAATGCATGTTACCATCTTTCCTCTTATGTTTAGGACAACTACTTTGAGGAAGCTTTCAAAATGCGAAACGTATTGGAGGAATTCCACAAAGATCACCATGGCGAACGTAAACCAACAATACTGGGATTGAGGGAACATATTTTTACTGGAAGGTTGGTATACCCTTCATCTTTTCTTGAAAAACCTTTAGACTTAAGTTGACAAAAATGTGTTTTTTTTGGGGAAGGAGGGAGGGGTACTTTTCTTTTATTCTCGAGGGTAGAATGGTCGTACTCAGTTTCGCTGTTGATTTACAGTGTCTCATCACTTGCGTGGTTCATGTCCAATCAAGAGACAAGTTTTGTGACGATTGGTCAAAGGGTTTTGGCAGACCCTCTGAGGTATGTTCATTCTTACCCCATTCATCAATATACAGTAATAAGGAAACTTACAATCTAAAATATAACAGTGTGATGGCATCTCTGTATCACATATTCCTTTTTTGTAGTTTTTAGATTTTTCTGGTTTTGTTGATGGCAGAACGGTAAAGATTTGCCTGCATATTGAGCTTAAAAATGTCAATGTAGTCAGCCAAGTTATTTACCTTGTTTAGCGATGTTACATTTTTTCCATTATTACCTTTTTTCTGCTATAATATGATAATGGAACTTCTCATATGGAGAAGGGGATACAAGAATGCTCTTTTTATTTTTGTTCTCTTTGGGGACTCCTCTAAACTTTAATTTTGAAGCATTTCGCATTCAAAATCCCCCAAATGTGATATGTATGTAATTTAACCTTGAGCAAACCAATATTATCAATAGGTAGCGATGAAGATCGTTTTTCATGTAGCTTCTTATCTTATTCCTTCGTCTCATATAGACCTATATACATTAGAATTTATATGAAATGAATGTGAAGAAGGGGACAGTACGCCATTTCTCTCCTTTGGTTATTACTTACCTTAAAAAGCAAACTCTTTGATTTGGATTCGGGATTCAGCACATAGAATAAAATAGTTGTAAAGGTAGTTAATGTAATTGATTATGAACAATTGAACTTCAGTTACCAAATCATGAGATGCTGCGAAGATAGCACTTCTATAATAGCTTCTAGGGCTCGTGTTATCAGTTTTCAACTATCATATTTATCCATAAAACGTCATTGATATATGTGCGATTCATGGTCTTTTGTAATTTCCTTTTAAGATTTGTCTTTATGCAGTCTCTTGATTTCTTGTCACTATTACATATTTCCATGGCATATAATTATATAACTTCTATATAATCATGATGGGAATTTCTCAACATTTCAATATTTATACTTCACAGGGTTCGCTTCCATTATGGTCACCCTGATATATTCGATAGAATCTTCCACATAACAAGGGGTGGTATAAGTAAAGCTTCAAAAATTATCAACTTGAGCGAGGACATATTTTCAGGTAAAATCTTGTCATTCCGTAAAGCATAAATGCTTGATGTATGGCTAATTGAGCAAGGTCTCTTCAGGTTACAATTCAACTTTGCGTGGTGGATTTGTAACACATCACGAATATATCCAAGTGGGCAAAGGTCGAGATGTTGGTATGAATCAAATATCCCTATTTGAGGCCAAGGTTGCAAATGGAAATGGCGAACAGACGCTTAGCCGTGACGTTTACAGACTTGGTCGGCGTTTTGACTTTTATAGGATGCTATCATTCTACTTCACCACAGTTGGTTTCTACTTTAGCAGCATGGTACAATGATGGAATCTAGTACTTGTATACGGGTTATTTAGCTAAATCACTTTCTGACAAGCGTTCTTTAAATCCATGACCTTCTTACAAGTTTCTAGGCATTCTTGTATATGGACGAGACATTCTTCTGTTAAGCAGTGATATTCTCAAAACCTGTCGGAAGGTCATGGATTTATAAAAAAAACCTGTCAGAAGGTCATTTAACCCTTCTATATACTTGTGATTTTTTATGCTATTACTTGGAATTAATTATTTCATGCTCTGATTCTTGTGTTCCAGGTTACTGTACTTGTTGTTTATGTCTTTTTGTACGGACGAATGTATATGGTTTTAAGTGGGCTGGAAAAGAAAATTATGGAAGATGCAACTATCAGTAACAACAGGGCTCTAGAAGAGGCTCTTGCAACCCAATCTGTTTTTCAGCTGGGATTGATTCTGGTACTTCCTATGGCCATGGAAGTAGGTCTCGAAAGTGGATTTCGACGAGCCCTTGGTGACTTTATCATAATGCAGCTTCAACTGGCCTCCGTTTTCTTCACTTTCCAACTTGGAACAAAGGTGCACTATTATGGAAAAACAATTCTACACGGAGGTTCAAAATATCGAGCTACTGGTCGTGGGTTTGTCATCTTTCATGCAAAATTTGCCGATAACTACAGGTTGTATTCAAGAAGTCACTTTGTGAAAGGGTTGGAGCTGGCTATACTTTTGGTTATTTATCAAGTTTATGGGGAATCATACCGAAGTTCAGACTTATATTTGTTCATCACTTTCTCAATATGGTTTCTGGTATCCTCGTGGTTGTTTGCTCCCTTCGTTTTCAATCCTTCGGGATTTGATTGGCAGAAGACGGTGGAGGATTGGACGGATTGGAAGCGGTGGATGGGGAATCGTGGCGGCATCGGGATTGCACAAGATAAAAGTTGGGAATCATGGTGGGATGCAGAACAGGAGCACCTGAAACACACAAATACAAGAGGCAGACTTTTGGAGATTGTGCTTGCACTTCGTTTCTTCCTTTACCAGTATGGACTTGTTTATCATCTTAATATAGCTCGTGATAGCAGAAGCATACTGGTAAATGGTTTCACTCCATTGCATCTGTTCCATATTTTTCTGGATATCTGCTCATAATTTTCTATTGATTTATAGGTTTATGGACTTTCTTGGTTGGTCATGATAACTGCTCTTCTGGGGTTGAAGGTATGCAAAACAGATGGTGGTAGTATTCTGGAAAAAAAGTGTCCAATTTTGTGTTGGAGTGTTGAAAATGGTTTCATTTTCACATATGTTAAAGAGTCTCAGATCGGCTATACTTGAACCATTTCTCCTCAATATACGTTATAACCTCCATTCTCTCCATAAAGGCTATTTTGGAGAGTAATCTAATGGGGTTCCATATATTCTCATATAGTATCAGCGGCATGGTCCACTACTCTAAGGACTCAACACTTTGGAAATTTGTACTCATCTAGCCCCCTTTTGACACTCTAGGACAATATGTGCCCATCTAGCTTCCGTTGGAGGGGGGGG